CTGTGACCCCCGCGGCCCTCGCCCATCGCTGGGGCTGCTCGGCCGGCCCGGGAGCGCCAGGCCCGCGGCCTCTGCCCGGCCCTCTGGGCCCCTTCCGGGGCGAAGTGCGGGGGATCTCATGGGCTGCGAAGAACCTGAAGTGGCGGCCCAGTAGATCGACAGCGTTTGGTGGCTGAGGGGCTTGGTCCCCTGTGGGAGAGGGCGAGGGCACACGTTCTGTCAGAGCTCGTGGTGGGACGGCATTGCTTGGGGTTACCTACTGTTCACGCTGACGGACAAATTTAATAGTATGTAGTGTGAAAAATTCTTAGCACACTTTTAAATACTTCGGAATTTCTAACAGCTCACAGAAAACGTAAGTGCTACTATCTGGCTTCGATGCTGTCTCTAAAAATATTCAAACCTTGGCTGGTCAGTAGAATGGTAGGGCACTGCTTTTTGGTTATGAATTCACAGTGCAAGTGCCTGAGTTGCATATCTAATGAAAAATGCCATAGCTTGCTGCTTTATAGCTCTGTGGAAATTCACACATGCACTGAAGAGATTTCTTTTGGTTGTCTTGTAGTGTCATTGTTTGTAAATAGTTGATTCTTGTCAAGACAAGCATTACAAGATGATTTTGTAGTAGTAACAATGAGTGTGTAAATTTGTTGTCTCTGGCATTCCATGTAGCTACAGAAAACTTAGGTCCAGAATGGCAAATAAGGACTGGAACAGAACTGGGGTCTCTTAAACTCTGGTTCTGTGTCTGAGAACTTCAGTTTTGTGAAGTGAGTTACTTCACAAAAGAAGAACTCTTTGTGTAACTTTTCTGCATCATAGAGGTTATGTGAATTAGTGCATCATGTAAAAGACTTGTTTCAATGATGAATGAAGTTATAGTGTAGTCTAACAAGATTGAATTACTTCAAGCTGTGCTCTGTATGGTTTTTACAAGACAGTGGTGTATATAGGTAAGGAATTGTCAAAGAATAACTGATCATTCAGTGGATATAAACTGTCTATTTTAACTAATATTGCCTTGAAGAGCAGAATTTATTCCAATTCAGAACAGAAAGCTTCAGGAGCTCACATTAGTGAGAATCTAACTATATTCAGTTTCTTGGAGAGGAAGGAGTGAGATGTGGCGATATCACTATAGAAGTTTTATGGCTCTGGGAATAACATGTTTAAAAAATAGTTGAAACTCTATGTGTTGTATATCAGAGGATTAACTCAGGAATTGCCAGCAGTCACTCATTTTTGCTGCCTTCAGTTAGAGAGATAGACATTCTGCCTTGACTTTCAGTATCTTTTGCAGCTTTTGGTAGTATCTCTTAATGGATTTTGTTGGAGTCTGAGACACAGAGTGTGTGCCCTTGTTTCTGATACTTAACTCTAAGATCGAGAGAAACGCCCTCCAGGGCGTGCCTTTGTGACTTTGCTCAGCTCCTTAGCTTTCACTGCCTGTCTGTGGCAGTGTCCTAACATTGATTCTAATCTCACACGGGGCCTTGGATGACTTTACTCTGCCTATGATTAATGTGAGTGAGCTGTCTTCTGTGCCAGCTACTTTAACTGCCTAGTTAGGGTATTTCCACTGAAAGTTGGAACATCAGTGTTGAATTAGAGTACCATTACAAAGGTCCCACAATCACCTACAATTAGATAGAGAAGATGCTTCCTGATCTTCTATTTTGATTCTGCTTCTCTTCTTAATGCCATAATAGCATGGCTATAAGGTTCAGTCATGCTGCCACTTAATCTGTTTATCAAACTCAGTGGTCAAGACAGGACTTTTTCCCTCCACACATTAGTGTTCCCTATATTGTGTTTCTGTGTAAAGTGATGAAAAAAACAAGAAACCAAACAAATCAAGTTTGTTGAGACAAGAAACCAAACTATCCAGGAAGAGGATAGTGGAACCTCTCACTAGGGTGTAGAGTCATGGTTGCTGTCTTTGAAATGCAGGAAGTGCTGGTTTTGTCTTTCAGTACCTGACTGAAAGCTGTTCTTGAATTATTGTGTTGTCTTTTTTAAAATGCAGCGTCTTTACACGTCTTGTAACATACATGGTTTGGAAGAGGGTATGTGTGCTTGAAAACAGGTGTTTTATCTCTATCTACTAATCTTAATGCAATTCCATCTCCCTATAAACCTACTTCTGATCTTTGATGTGGCCATTCTACTTGCGTAGAACTTCATACAAGATCAACTTTCAAGAAATTCTGTCTTTACCTCTGAAACTTTGCTAGGGTTTTATCTGCTGTTCTAGTGGCAACAAAAAAGCACTGCTGAACCAGTATGGATTTTTGGTGCTGACAAATATAAACACTCAAGGCCATGTTAGTCTTTTGTACTAGGAAATAAACTTCTTGTTTTACTTCAGGAGGGTGAAGTTTTTTTTGTGTCTCCTTATGAAAATTGGAGGGGAGCCTTTCAGTTTCAGACATGTTATTTTAGGCATCATCATGGTTATTCATCTAGCTTTGTTTAATATGGGCTAAAATCACTGATTCCAAGGTGTGTTCGTGTTTACATTCCAGACTTACAAGTGAGCTGATGTGAAAGAAAGCTGATGTGACAGTAAAAGATGAGCTCACTAGGAGAAAAAAAGTGTCTAAAATATTTTATAAAATAATATAAAATTTAAATAAATTAAATAAAATAAAATTTTAGTGCTCCAAAATGAGTTTATTTTAGAATTGGCTCTGTCTGTGGAAATCCCATTAAAGTGGTATTTGTGTGTACAGGGAAGTGTTTCTCCAGGTGCCAGTCTGCTTATCAGACAATAATAAACAGTGAGTCTTGCTTATTGCACCATAGTTGACTAACCGGTCCACCTGAGGGTGGATTATGCTGGCTACTGTCAGTGAAGTCAGAGGTGCCAGGAATTCTGATGAGGCCACTGTTGCAAGCTGTAAGCAAAGGAAAAATGTTCAGTAAAATTTTGAACTTTCCCTCCCTACATTCTGTTTCCTTTATGGGTGCCTAAAATGTTTAAGTTTCCTCATTCTTCTAACTTGGCTCTAAAGTGTTTAACATCTTGTGGCTCTTGTCTTTTAGTCCTTTGTGTGCTCATATTCCATGTGAACACCTGTTGTGACTTCATACCAGTGGAAGGCAGTATGAGATGCACAAGTCAAACTCCAGCTAAATTTGGTGTCTCTTACAGAATTGTTGAGTTGACCATGAATATTAAATTCATTAGGATTCATGTCTTGATTTATTTGCTTGTTTATATCTAGTGTAATGGAAGTTCATTTGACCCTAAGGTTCATAAATGTAACAAAGCAATTCCAGTAGTGGGAGAAGGAAATCTATCCTGTTTTATAAATGGCAGGCTGAGGCATGAGGTGTGATGTGCACAAGGATGTATCACGCTGGCAGACAGCTCTTACCAGATTTTCTGAATTTTAGTTCAGTGTTTCACATTTGCCTCTCAGTTAAGAAATGTTTTAGGCTTCTTGCTGTAGCACTGCAACTTTGTGTTATGTCTCTGTCATCCTGTGTTATAATTGACTGCTGATACAGTTGTAGTTGTAGTTCCTTTTGGGATTGTTTATCAAGGAAAAGCTTAAGAAAAGAAAGACAGAATGTTGTGGCCTGCCATTTAGTATTACTCTGTTCAGTATTTTTTCCCAGGAGAAAGATAATATACATGGCTGTGCTTCCTTCCAGTGTCTGAGAAAGATGGACAAGAAAAGGATGAACACCTTGTTTCACTTAACAAGTTTAGTATAATGCTATTGCATGAATTAAATTTGCAGTGAACTGAGGAAAATTAGCATTCTGTGTACATCTATATTCATACAACTACTTCTGAATATAAAAAGGTTTACCTTGAGAAATTTAATTAACATAAAAAACCTCTGAAGCATGAAAGAACCCAACCCCAAAAGGCACCAAACAAAACTCAAAACTTTAAGCAAACCTTTAACTTTTCAGGTAATGCTGCTCTTAGAGCAACAATACACATGCTTCAAGTGCTGTTTCAGGTGAAAGGGAAAATGCTTGACTTGTCCTTGTTTTGAGACAATGATTGGTTCAGGATTGTGTTTTAAATTAATTTATAAAAAACAATTAAATTAATACGCATATACTGCTTCACATCATAAATAGCAGTATAAAAACTAGGTACATTGAGGAAAGTTCTTTTTAAAGGTAAATGATTGCTAACACTACTATGACTGTCTGTGCATCTGATAATTTATAGTGTATGCAGCTTAGCTGAGAAGACTGCAATCAATGCTCAGAAAAGAGGTGAGCAAAACAGTAACTACAGTCTTGAATCACAGAGTCCCTAAGGTTAGAAAAGATCTCCAAGATCATTAGGTCCAGCCTTTGAAGGACCTAGTTCTAGCTCAGCTGAAGTGCAGCTGTATCACAAATATGTTAACTGGCCCATATGTCTCATTGTAACTCTGAAGTCTTTGCCTGAAACATGGAAAGTGGAGAGGTGCAAGTTGTCTGATTGTCATAGGGAATAGTGGTAGCTATTGAACTCTGCCAAATGGGCATACTGGTGATACTGGAAGTGTGGTCACTCTTATATTGGAATGACCTGGGAAATGGATTAACTTCTGGTGATTAGTTCTTGTCAGCAGTGGACTTCACAAGTCCACTGACTCTGCAAGCCAGAGTTCTTGTGGGTTATAGTTTTTTCAGTTGTCTAACTTTATAACTTTATATAATTTATGTTATAACTTTATATCGAGAACTTAATACAGTATACAATTTGATATATGAAAAAATGGAGATGAGTTGAAAACTGGGCTCATTTATATGTACACATATAAATATATATGTATTGGTAACTGACAGTTGAAAACAGTCTGGTTTTAGTTTTGCACTTAGTTTTCCTTGACTTCAGTCATAAATAACACTGAGTCTGCAGAGCTTTTTGGTGGCTTCCTAGAGCAACCTTCTTAGTCAATAGTTAGGAGTTTTTTTAATTTAGGGTCTGTCTGTGCTGGCCAGTGTAGCAGTCAGGTAACCTGAACAAGGGAAAAGAGCTTTTCTCTTGCTTATATTGAGTACTGTTCTTCTCCTTCCTTCCTGCCCGCAAGCTGATAAAAGAGTGAATTCTGGTAGAGTGGAGTGACCTTCTAAACAAGCTTCCTTTCAGAAAAGATGTACCTTTATAATAATTTCAGCAGGTCTTGTGCTCTTCATGCCTCAAGTCCCAGGCAGATAACTTCTAGCTGCCTCTCCTAAAAATAACATTTTTTTTTTTCATCAATTCAGTGTTAGTTTGCAGTAATTTCTACCTTTAGGATAGAGAACTTATTACTGTTCACTCTTCTTTCACTGACTTCCGTTATTTTTTAATCATTCAAATTCTTGACTGATGAATTCTGCTGTCATCTAGATATTGTCAATATTGCTCATACTGAAAGGTAAGAAAGTGCTTGAGCATAGTATGAAACGGTGACCCAGTCTTCTAAACTAAAAGCTAAATATGTCGAACAATGTTTGTTATTCCTTTGTGGGAACTGACTGCTTTCTAATTCTGTTAGATGAAGTGCCAATCAAGCTTTGTATGAAGTTCTCTACATTTTTAAGTCTCCCATGAAATGAAATAAGGTAACATAAATGTTGAAGTAGAGGTGATACATGTCCTATGAAGCCTTTCTCCTGAGCTACAGCTTGGTAGTGCAGTTTGTAATTTGGTGGTTACTACTGACTTAAGCCTTCCATTTTGCAGTAAAAGAGCCTTTTTGTGTAATAGCCCCTGTATGATTTTTCAGTAGCAGAAAGTTCTGTTCTGGACAATATATAAAACAATATTTCCATTACTGTATTACTACAGTGTTTAATAGTAGTTATGTTATCTAGCAAATGAGCACCAATAAAAATACATCTATGCTCCTTGAAGCTCACAAATCCCATTATGTACCTTTTTAATAAAATCCTCAGGACAGTATTGGAGCAGCCTACCTAATGATCCACCTTCCTGACTCTTCCTAACTTAAAGCCTGGAATATAAAAAGTGATTTAAATGCCATAGCATATTTGAAATCAAGCTGTCCTTCCATGGAATACTCATGGCCTGAGGAAAATGTCACAGGGCTGCCTTCTCTTCTCATCAGGAGGTATGTTAAACTTGCAACAGAAAATGTTGTTACAAGTGTAGATGTATATAATGAAAAGCTATTTCTGAAGCCTAACCTCTTATTCTTTACTCTGAAATGTTCACTTGTAGAAGAGAAAAGGGATCCTTGAATTCCAGCAGATTTTTCTGAGTCAGCCTGTAGCTATTTGAGGTGGTATGTTGGATTGATGTGATGAGTATAAATTCTCTAAATTATCAAACTGTCACTGAAAAAAATAGCTACAAACAGGAGTGGCTTCAGCCAAAGATGATTTTTTCCTTTTCTGTGTTTGCTATCATGATCCAGTCAGGCACAGAAATATCAGTAGCTCTGTGGGTTAGCTGGTGCAGTAGTTTACACAGGATTAGCACTCTTTCTTCAGTGATGATTTTTCAGAGAGATTAGTTCTAAAATAAGTAGTGTTTGTTCTCATCATACATTTCCATCAAAACGGAAGTTAAATTTAAACAAATAATTTTGGGGTTTCACTTTTTGACTAAATCTATAATTTGTTTATGCAAGACTTGCTCAAGTAGGCAAGAGCTTCTCTCTGATGATTATTCTCTTATGCTCTGCCAGTGTTCAGTGCCACTGGTGATGTCTCAGGCACTGTAAATCATTGCCTGTGCTTCCCCTTTAAGACGGTCTTTAACTGTGACTTTACCTGTGATTTTGTGCTGTTTCTTTAAAGTCCATCTATATTAGATACTTGTATTATTTACATCAGTGAAATATCCTGATAGTAGGCAGGTGGCATCTTTGTTCCAGGTACCTGCTTTCTTTCCTTCCATTATACAGTTTCACAGAATGCTGCTAGCTTAGTAGCAACTAAGGTAATTTGCTTAAAGTACTGTATAAAGATGTATAATTCTCTACATCTAACTTTTTTCTTTTGCAGGAGGGGTTTCTTACCATGGCCATAACACAGTTTCGACTCTTTAAAGTCTGTACTTGCCTGGCAGCAGTGCTTTCTTTCATTAAAAAGTTAATATGCAGGTAAATGAGTCTTATTTAATTTGGTTACCTTTTCTTTTTCAATTTTTCAATTACAGGTTCTTGCACTTCTGCCCTTCCGCCAGCACCCAACCACCACTTTAACCATTTCCGATTTTACTAATTGCAAAATAATCAACACAGATGAAAACTAAATCCAATTAATTTTTTAATTTGCATATTTGTTCAGAGTTCCAGAAGTCTGTGTAGTTATTTGTGAGTGTATTTTGTTGTATGGTAGCTAAATGAGATTTTGTAAACAGCTGTGACAGGGTTTTAAAATGGTTTTTAAAACTATTCCATGTCAAACTTGAAGAAAAGCTGTGCTGCACATTTTTGAAATGTACTTAGCAAGTGATACTTCATGTTTTAAGAGATTTAGTTAATAGGAGCATCCACTCTGTCATCAGTCAGTAGGCTGTCATTACAAGTGAAAGCAATTCTCATCCTGTTTGTCAAAAAACAGTTGCCTGAGACTTCAGATTCTTCTGCATATTGAAGATTCTTTCAGAATTTTGGAGGACAGTGATTGAAGTTCAAGGAAACTGCTTTTTTTTTCTTTTAAAAGATGAAGAATAGTTTATTTTTTACACTCTTTTAAGTCATATGTAGGTTCTTTTGAGTTGTAGACACATGAAAGCTGCAGTGTAGTACTTAGAAGAAATAGAAAAATCCCCAAGAGTTAATGTGGAGCGGTAGAATTCAGTAACACAGTAGTGCAGTACCTGAGGCAATTCTTGGCACTGTGCTGTCATATGAACTACTGTGCCTCCTGCCACTTGTGCAGCATGTTGCTTACATAAGCAAATACCAATCTAAAGAAATGTATTCTCTTTTTGTTTATGATGACAACTACTTTCCCACTGAGGATTAAAGCATATGCAGAATATGTGGCAGACACAAAATAACTGTTTACTTCCTCTTCACCTTTACTTGTTCCAAGAATAAATGGAAGCTCTTGACCTGTTGGTAAATTCACTACAGATCTAGTGAACCTTTAAAAAGAAACATTTTAATGCTGCATACAGTTATATAGATGTCAACCTTAGTTCTGTGATTTGAATTCCAAATTAAATTAAGAATACTTGTTCAAGTTCTGAAAGAAGTCAAAACACTGAGTTCATCATAACTTCTATATTATGTGGATCCTTCATTTCTTTAAGTGTAAAGAAAATTTTTTATAAGCAGATAATTATATTCTAAGTGTAGTGACAGTATTTTCATCCTTTTTTCCAAATTCTGTATGAACTATAATCTTGAAATGAACAGCTGAGAAGAACAAAAAGTAGAAAACCCTTTCTTTGCTGAATAACAATTAGTTGAAGAAAGGAAAATTTAAGGTTTTTCACATAAGCATGTCACTGGATCACATTAATTCAGACCACTAACAATAGATGTTTCTTCTGTTCACTGTCACTGCAAAATGTACTTTGATAAATTTTGTTTTCCAGTAATGCTCCCCTCCATATAACCTATATGCCTAATAGCCAACAATTATTATTTAATTAAACACACATTTTAATTCAATGGATATGAGCTAGTACTTACTTACATTACATAGTTTACATTAGGTTGTCATTTGAACAAGTGCCTGTAGAGATTGTGCAACTTTCTGGGCAGCATAGAGCATGCCTATAGTACTGATCCTTTCTTTAGGAAAATCTTTTCTTGATAAACAGACTGCCTGAATTCAGTTCTCAGGAATATAACATGTGTAAGTATAAGAAGAGATGAAACTTCCTTCCATTTAAAATCTCTAGTTATCTCTGACTGAGAAATCTGGATGCTGCTTATTAGCAAGGAGAAACAAATCCAATAATTCTCAAGGCATTTGGCATTCAGAGCAGTGATCAGTATCTGATGATGGCTGTGGAGCAGCTGTTCCTATAAGCATCTTCTTCCCTTACTAGAAGAAGTGGAGATCTGTAGCCTTCCTCAGTGCTGCTGTGTGCACCATACTCTTTCTGATGTTGTGTGACAAAAGCTCTTTCCCCCTACCTTCAGGCTTCTTACTGTAACCATTTTGACTTGGTGAATGTTTGTTACAAGCTACTTGCTAGTCTTCTAGATAGTATAGAGAAAGACAATGCAGAAGTGATGGCTTGTAATAGTATTAAATGTAAATAGTATTAAGGATGTGTATGTTGTAGAGGTCTGAAGGAGGATGTTTCCAAGTTTGGGTTTCCTTTAGAGATGTAAAGTAAATCTCATCAAACAGAAGTCTCTAATGTGTTTGAGGGAACAGTGATTTCACCTTCCTTTACTCCTAAACTATGTTGCTATAAACTTGAACAGTTTATAAAGGGAGTAGAGTCAATTATAGAAAACTTGAAAACTTGATGATAGCACCTGACCTTTCCTAAGAAGGAATGTTTGGTCTAGAGTAGAAAAAAATACATCTAGTCATTCACCAGCATACAGTAGAGGTGATATTACAAGCAATTCAGCTAGTGAGTTGATAGTATGTTCTCTAATGAGTTGATAGTATGTTCTCTAATGAGTTGATAGTATGTTCTCTAATACTAAAACTAATGGATAGAAACTAGATATTGAAATTTCCTGGTTTTATTCCCATCAGTAGTAAGAAAAAAACATTAATTTTTCCAAGCTACCTAAGGTCGGTTACATGACTACTTTGTAGGAGCTTACATTCTTTGGGGAAAATATAAGTGTGAGCCTGAATTACATTCAATTGTGTTGTAAGGTATTTAAAATACAGTGAATGTCAGCTAAGAATATTTTAATTATTATTCTGATCTTTGAACATTGTTATGAAGTAAATATACAGGTTTATTTGCAATGCATTGGTGTTGTTTTAAATTAAAATTACTTTATATAGTTGCTGAAATGCTGAAACAGTATTCTTTAAGTAGAAGCATGAATTGAGTTAAAGCTGTTGACATGCATAATCTTTTACTACCTCTGTTTAGACTTATTTTTTTTTTAGAAAAAGATTTAGAGGGGATTTCAAATCAAGCAGCTCAGAAAACTCTTAGTTAGACACAGCTTAAAATTTAAGACAAATAGAAAATTTTCTCATTTTACAGTAGAAATGGTTCTTTGGCAAGCCTGGATCTCTAGTACTTGCTTCATAAGCACTGACAATCTAAAAATTGTGACTGAATTATGCAGATGAGTTAGTCCATTTTCATATTTTTCAGAAGTTTTTTTTCTTCTATTTCACTGCAATTACAAAAGTAAATTGCACTTTGATATTCTTGTGAACACAACTTTCGATTCATGATGAAATTCCTTTGCTTAGCAGACTTTACTGACAGTAGTTAATACAAAGTTAATTGAAGCACTAAATGTTTTAGTCGTGACTATTTTCAGTAGGGCTGTTCTCAGACTTCTATTTTTGTTTTTTTTAAACTTAGTGCTCATGTTTTCAGAGCTTGGAGGAATCCTACATTTTTTTTTCAGGTCTGGAAGAGGACGAAAGTTAAGTGGAGACCAAATAACTTTGCCAACCACAGTGGATTATTCATCCGTTCCTAAGCAGGTAATTGTTAAAGTGGTAGGTGACTTAATCCCTTAACAGGGTGATTATACAAGTCCTACAATATTGAATTGGTATATATTCAATATATATAAAAAGACAAGTTTTTACCTGTAGATAATATTATCATATTCTTATATTCAGCCTGAAGTAGAAGACTGGTCTTCATGGGATGAAGATGCACCTACAAGTGTGAAGATTGAAGGTGGCAATGGTAATGTGGCTGCTCAGCAAAATTCTTTGGAACAAATGGAACCTGATTATTTCAAAGATATGACACCAACTATAAGAAAAACTCAAAAAGTTAGTATTACACTTTCAACTATACTTATGGAGGGTTTTCTTTGCTTTAAAATAAAAGCAAGTAAATTGTCGACTTACAGAAGGTGCTGTTGGTAAATGAGAATAGATGCTGGTGCATAGTTTATTATGTTCAATGTTTAGATCTTAGCAACTGTTCTGGGAAAAGCACTTTTTCAGCCAAACCAGGACAATGACAGTGACAGAGAATTTGCAGCTATTAAAACTGCAGATATGCTATTGGGGTAGTTGAGAGAGCTGACATTACAGTGCAGTACAGCTGACATTACTGTGCAGACAGCACTGTCCTCAAAAGTAGGACCTCAAAGTGACCTGTCACAGAAGCAGTATTTCTTGAAGCAATATATTACACAATTGGTAGCTTTTATGAGTACTGGGAGATGTGGCTGTTTGATTTGTGATTCTTTGTGCCTGTTCTCTGTCTTGGTACAGCCACAGGTTTCTATGTGACTAGAGAAAAAGGGGAGGAGGAGTTCTTGTCTTTGGCATTTAACATTTTTTACTTACAAGTTCATTTGGTTGTGCAGCTTTCAGAATCTGACCAGGTTTAAGACACAGTGAGGTGTTGTGTTGTGGTTGAACTCTTCGTGGGCAGAGTTATATAATCACCAAGGAATCTGTGCAGTGCTTTGATCTACCACTTTTTTGTTCCTTTTTTTGAATATTTTCAGATAGTTATTAAAAAACGAGAGCCTTTAAATTTTGGGATTCCAGAGGGAAACACAGGATTTTCTAGCAGATTAGCAGCTACACAAGATATTCCTTTTATTCACCAGTCTGTAAGTATGCTCTGAGTATTGATCTTGTATTTGTCAGTTAAGTGATGTTCTGTAGGGGAAGGAATAGTCTGCCTAAGGTGTGCATTGTGGGGAGTAAGTGGAATAGTTGGGGAATAATGTAAATTGTTTTAAAATTGAGTGAAGAATGAAGTAGTCCAATATGTTCTGCTGAGAAACCTGACAGATCAATGATAAAAAGTAAGAAGCTTTCATATACTTATGGGCTTGCCAATTTGCTAAAGCAGTTAACTTGAAGTTTTGGATTTTACACATTAAGTTACTAACAAAAGAGTAGAAGGCTTTTTTGAAAGCCTCTGAGTTACCTTTGCTTTATTATATTGGACCCATTTTTAATCTTCTGCTTCTCCTTTCCTTTCTGTAGAGATTGTAATGTAGTACTCTCCTAATTTTTACTCCTTAGCCTTTGAAAAAATTGTCCAGTTGCCTAACAGCCTGGCCAGCTAGCAGGAGATGCTCTCCCTCCCTTGCCCTTTGCCTTTTTTAACAGTGCTTCTCCTTTGATTAGCATTGTGCACAAAAGGGTACAGGCAGGAAGCAGTACAGAATGGTCATACCACCTCCTTGTTCTGTCCTTTATGAAAATAGTTCAGGAAAGGTCTTTCAGTGAGTAAAAGTGTCACTCAACTGGTATTGGACATAACAACATGTGGATGTATATGTTGGTTTGTTCACGCAACCTCCAGAAATCTTTTACACTATCTGCTCATATAATCTGTTCAATTTATCTTCCTCTTTCTAAAAATACACTCCACTACTTCCTTCCTGCCTTTGTGCAAAAAGCCCTTTGACAACTGAAAAAACCCAGTATTAGAGCAGGGAAAGAAGCCTCAAAAATAAGATGAGAAGCCATACCTCAGATATTTTTGTAAGTCTGAAGCATTAAGGTTAAAAGTAAATAGATTAAAAAGAAATATTAAGGAAACTTTGCTGTCATCCAGGAGTCACTCTGGCAGTCACACACCAGTGTTTTATCTAATTTTTCCATGTGCTTAGAACTTCTCTTTTGTTTCAGCCTGAACTGGGAGACCTGGATACATGGCAAGAAAATACAAATGCCTGGGAAGAAGAAGAAGATGCTGCTTGGCAGGCAGAAGAAGTTCTTAGGTAATTGAAATTAATATAACGCTATGTAAAGGTTTTACATGTAAAAGAATCACTTTTGTTTATTTCACACATATAATCCTTTCTGGTAAGTGCCAAGAATTGCTAAATACTTCTTAAAACAAATTATTTTTGTGCATCTAATCTCTGTGTAACCGGAAGACATTTTGGAACTAAATAATTTTGTAGACGAGATAGTAGGGGAAATCTGAAAATCACTGGAAGAACACATTAACACGTGTGCATGCAGGTGCTAAAAAACCCCACCCCAACAATGCCTCACCAATTCCAACAATTCATTATGTTCAGAGCACATTACTTGATTAAGTAAAATACCACTTGATGTCCTTATAGAAAGTATCCTAACCATGTGCTTAAGATAAAAATAGTTCAGGATAGAAGGTGAAGTGATAAGTATCTGCTTGGAATCCCTGTAGTAGCTAGGCTTTTCTAACTTAAATAAACTAGCTGATAAGGCTGAATGTAAAATCTTTGCACAAAGTTAGTGTGAATACTTCAACCATTCAGCTTGTGTTCTTGTTTTTCTTTGCTTTAAGGGTTATGGAGGGTAAAGAGTTGCAAATTAAGTTCATCATACACAATGATTTGCACTTGTAACGACTTACAGTTGTATCAAACTTTATTGCTTGTTACATCATCAGGTAACTAGCCTCAGATAGCTTTAGCTTCCTATGCTGTTGTAATTTTACACACTAAATCACAAGCTTCTGTGGTCCACTAGTGATAAAGTGAAATAGATATGATAGGTATGAGATAAAGACATGGTAAATTCAAAAATCATTCTAAGGAAAATATGTATTGTGGGGGGAAAAAAAAAGTATTCTGATCAAGTATTTATTTTTATAAATAAAAATACTTTTTTATTTAATATAAATAAAAATACTTTTTTTTTAATAAAAAAATTACTTTTTCAATCTGTGGAATAAGACAAGAGGGAAGTTACCAGCTCATTTTCAATGCTCTGATCATAATTAGAGTTGATTCAATTTATTAACTCTGTCAGTCTTGCTCTGTAGCAGCTTAACATGTGAGAATAGGGATGTAATGCGGATATTTTTATAAACTTTATCTGGTGTCTGTGTGTACATTCTGCTCAATACCTTGCTTGTGGTTTGTTTTTTTTTTAAACTTCCTTACTGTTTCAGCTCTTGTACCAAAGTACAAGCTTGGTGACATGAATGATGTGGTTTAAGGCTGTTTTTCTTCCACAGATAGTACTTTTTACTATGAAGTATATCAACAGACTCAGTAAGAACTTTAATACCTAGAGTGCAGTCCGCTGAGACTTAAATGAAAGGCAATGAAAATACTTTATTTTTTTTTTTCTGAGAAGTGAAACAGCTACTTCTGCAAGCTGCAGAGGCTGTGCTGTATTTACTTAACCCTTGCCACATTCCATTACAGATGGTGTTAGGACTATCAAAAATAGTACTCAAACTTTCTGAAACAGGGGGTTCTCGTATATGAATTAACTACTAAAGATTATCTGGTGTATGTATATGCCAGTTTATTCTTGGAGTGTAAAATTTGTGCAGTAAGTATTTCCAGGATGGCAAAAGTCATATTGTTTGTTAACTGTCAGGTTCATGCTATAGAATACTTAGGAAGAGAAATACATGGTGATAGCAGTGGGGTTTCCCGAAAGCTTTAATTTTTCAAAGTATCGTGTTATTTGGTTGAACCTATCCTAAAGATTTCAACCTATCATCTTTACTGTTCAAAGGGTTCAACTCAAATGGTTACATTTCATAAGATTTCTTTTTGGCCTCATGAAAAAGTATCAAACTGCAGTTGTTACAGAAGGGATGTGTGTCTAAATGTTTCCAGTAGATACAACATGATCAGAACTCTAGCTGTCTATGGCTTACCACTAGCTATGGCTGGCTACCTCAATACAGCTGGTCATTATGTAAGCTGTATCCCAGCTGTGTGAAGTAAAACCTTTGTTTTATTCATGACACAGAAATAGCAGTGTTTATCTGTAAATGAGTAAAGTCCTGGCTGATTTTTAGCAAGATTGGTAGAAAATCCCATCTGGGTTTAGTTTTTCTTGCAGTAGGCATCACTGGTGTCTTTAACATCTGATATTTAACATATAACTTAAGTATAGTCTGGACAGGCCTGGCTCTGTTTTCAACAAAGGAGTAAGGAAGTGCTATGAAGTCTCTTCTTAATGCTAGAGGTCTGCATCTTGGTCTGCAAAATGATCTGAAGATTCTGTGACCACTCTGGTGACTTAATGTATGAGTGTAACACTTGAAAGAAGTTAGTATAGTATTTCAGACTGCCAAATAGAGGACAGAGTCCCCCTGATGTTCCAAAGTGTTAATACTGACTGTACTTCAGTGGAGCTTTTTGAGACTGAAATGAGTGTGTAGAAAAAGTAAGGATCTCCCTTAGCCTGCTGTGTCTGGTACCTGTTGGTGCTCAGTAAGACCAGAATAATTTTTGTGTAGTAATGGAGTGCTGATCAGTCATGCAGAAATGGGCTGTATCCTGCTAATTAGAAGTGAAGACTCTAACCTGTGGCCTTTCTGGTGAGTTTATGCATAAGCATAACAGCTGAAATGAGCACATACAGTAAATCAAATGCTCCCTGGAATTAAGGCATGGAATTAAGTGCTGAAGAGTAGGCTATCAGCCTGAGAACTCCCTGTAGTCTCTTTTCCTCATTTTCCCATAGGTTCTGGGCTGGGATGCACCAAAATTTTCCACTCAGTAATGAATTGGTCTAGTGGATGATAAAGTGCATTTTCAGTTCACTTGAATTAGTTGGAACTTAGTTTCTTCTGCAAATTTTAGATACCTGTCTGAAACTTCAGACATTATATTACCAACAAAGTTTCTATCCCAGTGGAAGCAGTTAAGCTCACACATTTTTAGTTTATAGCAGCTAGTTGTTTGTATTTTTGTTGGCTGTTTGCTGTGTCTGAGGCGAGGTGAAGGTCTCTCTCTGAGCAGAACTGAATGCAGGTTCCCAGACTGTAGAGGGCACGGAACAGCTGCTGTGAGCAGAAGCTCCATGTCCTGTGGGTCATCCTGGGGAAAGAAACAGGAGCTGCCACAATCCCTCCCTTCAGAATTGCACATGAACAGCAGCATTAACACTATGTGGCTTTTTGGAACTTCACTGTCTCCAGATATTGGCTGGTGCGCAAAGCACTTCTTCCCTTCTGCATCAGTTCAGATGTGTGGGAAATATAAAAATCTGCAACTGTAATTGGCAAATATTATTACTCTGCATATTGCTAGACTGGCAGATCTGCCAGCTGTCAGGTAGAAGGTAGAATAATGGGTGATAATCTCAAAGAAAACATCACATCAGCAAAAACTCGAAACTTTTGAGCTGCTGCTGAAAGCATTAGATAGATTTTTAGTTTTTGCTCTAGGCTGTACAACTGTCCTGTACTCTCATTGATTCACTTACTCTGAATCATTGAGAAGCTAGTGACTTTTAAATTGCAGAATAATTGAACAACTCTCAGGCATATGGTGTGATTCATGGGGATGGTCCTGTGCAGACCAGGAGTTGGACTTTGATCCTGGTTGGTTCCAGTGCAAAATATTCTACAATTCTAGATTAATCTGAAAAAAGGACTTCATCACAGTAAAAGAATGACTGTTCTGAGCCTAATGACAATAGACTGAAGCTCTGTTTATATTAGTTATAATAACCTTTGTGTTGACAGGAACTTAAGGTATGATCATGCTGAAAATTGAGTGCGTGTAATTTAGCAATTCATGTTTTCTTTAATTACAGACAACAGAAGATAGCAGAAAGGGAAAAAAGAGCAGCAGAACAACAGCGTAAGAAGATGGAGAAAGAGGCACAAAGGCTAATGAAAAAGGAACAAAACAAAATTGGTGTAAAACTGTCCTAACAGAAACCATGCAGCAATGACAGTGAAAAGAGAATTTCAGCTCCACAATATACATATTGGTATTGATTTAACTATTTATGGGACTTCAACACACTGCTTGGTTTCAATGCATTCTTCAGGTCATCTTGGAAGCCAGGATTTTCCCAAACTATCTTGAACTACTAGTACGTAGTTCTTAAAGGAGAAAAGTCCCACAGAAGATCATGCCTTGATGGAATGTTTCCTGCAATAGTTCTTTTCCAGCACCCTTCTTTGCAGCAAAAGTGATTGACAAGGATGTTGATTGAAAAACACTGTTAATGAACAGCTCAAGCCTAGAGAAAAGAATGTAAATATTGAGTGGTGGGAAATCTACCTGTATTGTCTGTGCTTACCTGAAACATGTAATTAAACAGTTTTAAAGAACCCTTTGCTTCGTGCCTGATAAAAATGCCTGCTTTTGCTCTTTTGTCAAAGTATGTGTAAACACTTGAAAGTTTTCCATGGGAGATAATATTGTAGAAGAAAACAGCTTATTATGGGTGACCTGCAACTCTAAATGTGCTCCTGGTGGGTTATCCAGCTGAACACTGAAAGTGGATTTCTTGTCACTTTGTCACTTGCAGCTTCCTGTGCTCCTGTTTACATGTGACACTGCAATGACTACCAGCAGTGGCATCACTACACAGGAGTGGTGCACCTTTCCTACAAAGGCTGACACGAATGTAAGGGAGCATTTTAATCACTTACTTGTATTGGTAAATTTGTATTTCTAGCAGAAGTTCTTATACTTCCTACAGATAGGAATCCTTGCACCTTATAGTTGTTGCATAGTTAGTGTAATTGAGAAGAAAAATCGTGTCTTCCTTCTAATAAAGCTAGTGTGAAATTCTCAGTTCAGTTACAAGCACCTTTCAAATGCCATTTTTTGCACACTTACTGTATGTGTTTACTCTCTAAATCCCCTGCTGAAGTGTGAATGGTAAAGGTGCTGTAGAAGGCAACAGTGCTTTAATGAAGAAATTCAGTGTCTGCTGCAAAGAGGTGGATGGGAGGAGGGGAGTCTTTGTGCTTCCTGTGTCCAGCCCAGTGCTTCAGTGAATGCTTTTCCAGGTCCTGTTGGATGGGTACTGTTATCCCTGATTTGTGGGTTTATGGATTTCTTACCTTATGACAGATGAGTGATGTCAGCACGTTTTGCACATGAGACTCGTTTCCTGTTCATCCAGGGGACAGCACAGGAAGTGTCAGTTGTAAAAGAATGGGAAGGTGGGGGGGGGGATGCGACTAGACCTTTCCTGCCTACAAAAATAGGATTTGTAACTGAGTTCTAGTGGGTTCTGGCACAGGTTATGCTTCCATTATAAGTAATTGGGAAAACAAGACAGTAAGGATTAAAGGTTTTCGTTGCAAAGAGTTTTTAAAAATGTTCAGTATACATGTCATATAGGTTCAGATCTTGCACAAATCAACTGATGTGACAGCAATTTTCAGATGTTAAATTTTGAAATACACTTTGAAGCCAACACTGCCATGCATGTTTTCTGCACAAGCGTTCTGGCTAGAGTAGAATGGATTACTTTTAAGTGCAGACTTCAGTGCAGCAATATGGCAAGCAAATCTGCTCCTACTACACACCTCAGATAAGGGATTGAGATGAGAAAGTCGATGAATAAGCTTTAGTAACCATCTATGTTTGTCCTTTTAGGAGCACTCAAGAGGAAAAGAGGTACCAGTCTCAATTCCTTCGCTATTGCTGACACAGGGCAAGGAAACTGGCTATCTACTGCCTGCTTAAAGTGAAATCTGTTGGAAGCTATGTCTCATTTCTTAGAAAATTAATGATTACTGTTGCTATTTTTGAGACAATACAAAATAGACATAAATCAATACAATTTATTAAAAATAACGAGGTGGGCCAGTTACTAAGTTGCAAACAAAGCCTCTGAATACATCATGAAAGCACATTTGATCTTTGAGCCTTCAGGCATTTTAAAAGCCCTTGAGTTCTGTCATGTTCTGCATGGGGAGAGTGCTGCATTGCTTTTCCCTCCTGCTGTGTACTGCTTTGCTGTTCTTCCTTCCATCTACCTGCCAAACTGAGCACAGCTGTTCTAGAGATTCCCCCATCTCTGCCCTGTGTTGAAATGGTGCCAGTAGGGAGGACAGTGTTGTTGGAGGAAGTCTCTTGAGTGGTCATAAGCCGTGCATTATTATCAGTTTCATCTTTTTTTCCTGTGCTCTCCTTTACTCCTTCCTATATCTTGCTTTTTATCCTTGATAAATACGAAAACACTTCTGCTGAAGTTAGTGAGGCTGCTGCTCTCATACTATATTGGTTTGAGTTTCTTGAGGATCCTGTACATGCCTGTGTATACTTCCTGTCTTTCCTTCCTGCTGCCATATGCTCCTCCTTTTTGCTTTTGTGTTTTGGTTGTTGGCCACGTGCTCTTTTTTTTAAAATTTCTTGGCTGAAAGCTGGACTTGATTGCTTTCACCGATATTCTTGACTGTGGAGGATTGACCTGCCAGGATGACTGAAAAATCATCCTTTCCTTGACTGTGCTGCAGTTGTTCATGCTTGCCAGGTCTTGTGTTCATTTGTCTGAAGGGATTTGGAGCAAAATACTTCTTATATAGGGCATACATAAAACAGGACTAAATATGTTTCTGGAGTTTGGTATTAAAAGAGTCAATTTGCAGGGAAAGGAAGGAGATTTTAATTATAAGTTAGGAACAGCCTTGTGAAAAGGACATAAGCAAGGGCGAAAAGAGGCAACAGGCAGAAACTGATGCACAAGAAGTTCCACCTCAACATGAGGAAGAACTTTACTGTGCAGTTGAGTGTGCACTGGAGCAGATTACCCAGAGAAGTTGTAGTCTCCCTATAAGGATATTCAAGAACTGCCTGGGTTCAATCCTGTGCCATGTGCTTTGGGATGACCCACTGTGGTTCTTTCCAACCTGGTGCATTCTGTGATTCTGTGAAGGATAGAGATAAATCTGGTGGGAAGGGAATCAGATGCCTGAACCTCAACATTTGCAGCAGGAGGGCATGCTGCATACCTCTTAAGCTGAATATGAAAGAAAGGCTTTTTTTGTTCCTGGACTAGAAAGAAAATGTGTAATGGGATTATGAACATGCATCCCTTCAGCCCAGAAAGGAGCTGACTTGGTTCCTGTGCCATAAGCCCGAATTCAGGTGTCCACTATTTTAACCATAGTGTATGAGCTGCATGTCCTCCGCACCTGCATGTTTTGAAGACTTCCCAGTGTGGTACAGGTATAGGTATGAGCATTTTCTAAACTGTTTCCTAAAAATACAGATGGGGGTTTTTATTGAACTGTTTGGAGGCTGATGATCCTTCCCTAGCTGTGTGCAGCACCAGCGAGACTCAGGTGAGACATGACTAAGGTATAATATGAGAGGGGAAAACAGCTAAGTTGGTATGTTTGGAGCAACAGCTGGCATATGCTCTATGGATTGTGGAAAAAAGACCAAAGTTTGGGACTGGTGCATTATAGTAATTCAGGTGTGTTCTAACAAAGGACAGCTTAAGCTGTCTGTGTCCTTGCAGTATGGAGGAGGAAAGGCAGAGGCTTAGAAGCTAACTGAATTTTGGATAGAGATCAGAGCAAATGCTTTTATCAGGAATGTGATCGGAATGATGTCACCTCTTGATGAGCATAGTAGCTAAATGCCTAATGAGAGCTGAACTGACTGAAGAACCTTAAGGGCAGAAAGAAACTTCGGCATTGTTCTGGTTATGGGATCAGCCTATTGGCATCTTAAACGTAAATGTAGGTTATTGCCACTTTGTTGCCTCTTCCTGCAAAAACCCCCCACAAAGTCACCTGTGAATGCATCTAGAACCAAAGATCACTTTTTCTTCTGAATTATGGTGCATTTCACTGTCACTCAAAGCAAAGATCACATAAGCAATAATGGCTGTGAGTGAAAAATCCAACATTGCAATGAAGCTGGTAATATCAGGTGTAAAATACTGCTGTCTTGGTCCTGCACAGACATATTTTGATGTAAGAATAAAAATTTCTGTAATGCATTTCAGTCCCAGGAAGAGACATTCAGGAATTTTGAAATGCCATGGTTGTGTAAAATTTACATTAATAATACCTTCAACTGGTAATTTTGGCCCTAATGTCCCTATAATTTAAAAGCTTTTGAATGTGACATTTGAGCAGTATGAAGTGCAGCAGTGTCACAAGACAAGCCAGATGGCTGCAGGCACCCAAGAAGGCGGGAAGGCATGGAAGACAAAGTTACGGCAATGCAAGCAAGATGCTCTAATGTCCAGCTCTGTTAAATGGGGATTATATTACTTCAAATGATCTGTTAAGAGTTCTCCTCCTTAATGTAATGCTTAATGAAGCCTCTAGAATCTCTACTGCAAACACAAAATAGTTCACCACCCAGGCATCACAGGGACATGAAAGGTGTGGGAGACATTTCCGTGTATCACCCTCTTTTAAGTGTTGCAAATGCTCCCCACACGTGGCCAATTACACTCCTTTGTGGATTACTCATAACTTCTTTCCCAAAAGCTGCAGTGCAATACATGGCACTCCCGGGCTTCCCTGGAACCCTTCTTCTCTGGGTCACACATGGAAATACTACACTTGTTTTGTAGAAGGAGGCCAGTGAGGTTCGAATGGCCAAAGGTGGTGTTGAAAGCTTGGGTGGAACCAGAAACACCCCACTGTTTTGCCTGTTGGGTAGCATTGCTGTCCTCTGATCTATCCAGAGATTGTAGGTTTTGGACGTGGAGAGTGCATGTTCTGATGGTCAGTGTGCATGCATGCTCAGACCACGACTGTCAGATGGGTTAAATGCCAGAAAGACTGATACTGTTCTGCGATTGCAGCACTGAGGAGTTACAGGTTTCCAGATGATTGCCTTGGGTTAAAGATTAGGTCACTTGCATCTGTGAATGCAGTGTGAGGCAGCAAAGCAGGTTGTGTGTGCAGCTGCAGCTCAGCTGGAGCCTTTAACTGGTGAGTGCTTACACTTGGAAGTGTACTCTGGTTTTCTCAGTCTAATTCTGTTCTCCTGGAACAGTACCTGACACAGTACCTCCTCTAGCTCAGCCTGTACCTGACAGCTCAGCTAGAATGGGTATTTTTTATACCTTTTGACAGTAAAACACTCACACACTTGACATTTCTATCATGCTTTACTGAACTTGTGATTATAAAGGTAATTTACAATAAAGCAATTAAATAAACAATAAGTTAAAACACAATACAATTATACATAGTATTTCAAAGGGCTCAAGAGACTATCAGGTTCCAATACATAAAGACTTTAAAACAACATTAAGATTTGAAGTGTATCCACGCCTATACTTATCACTGTAACAAGTGTTAAGACTCCCAACAATGTACATTTTTGGTTACAGTCCCTGTATACGCACAAGACCAGTGAAATGCTCAAGCAATTGCACAATTGAGAAGAGCACTACATGAGACAGGCACGAACGATGTGCTGGAAGCTGCCTGGGGAATACAGGTTTTACCTCTAAATTGAATTGACACTCGGAACAACAAATGGAAAGCGTTAGCATGCTTTCTGGAGCACAGGTGTGATACCCTAAGGGAAGGTTAGTGCTGTCTAGAGAAATACCCCACCTTTCCCTGGCCATTTTTTCCCTCCATCTCATACTACCCTTGAGCCAGTGCAAAGTGCCTGTACATTTGCTCAGTGAACCATCCAGGGAGAGTGACTGAGTTCAATCCTAGCTCAGCAGTGGAACAGGAAAGAGCAATAGGCTCGAATTCCTGATTTCCCTGGTTATGTTCACTGTGCAGATGTGCTGGCATGAGAAAGTCACCAGGACAGGGGAGGGACATGGTGCCTGCCAGCAGGAGGACTATTTCTGTAAGCAGCAGTACTGTTAAAAACATCTTGTGGAAGTACAAGGTTTAGCTTATTTTTTTTTTTTTTTGAAACAACATGTTTTTGAACTGATCTATAGTGCAAATCAAATAGTCGAAACCAAGTGATGGACTCTGCCAGAATATACAGTAGCTTTTTATGATCTATCTCATCCCTCTTTGCCTCAGCCAGTTGGTGCCCAGGGACAGAGTAGACTTTAGGTTTTGATACTGAAGGGTGTTCGGCGTAAAGAGTGCAGGGCCACCAGGCAGCAACCACGAAGCAATGCTCCAATATTGTAAATAGGATCTGTTCCTCCTCTCTGAGTACTCAAAGCCCACACAATAGTTGGTACAACAGGGGCTGCTACAGCCAGAAGATCCCCAAGGAGACTGCTGCTCCAGTATCTCCTCTTTATTCCTGCATTAACATACTCAAAGGCTTCATCATCATGAGTTTCTGTAAAATCAAGTTCTTTCATGAAACGGTTTTCATTAACTCTGTGCTCCACCTTTCTGCATGGAGACTCCATAGGAGACAAAAGGATGGCAGAATTGGGATCACTTGGAGTTAAGTCCACTATGATACCAGAATCACTGAAGCTTCCAAGAGAAAATTCACCCAATTCCTTCAGTGAAGAAGGTGGGCTTAGAGGACAGGTGTCTTGAGCTCTGAAGATGTTTTGAATGAGCTGCTCCACATCTAAGCTATATGGCACCACGTCAGTCTGGATGGCCTGTTCCACTGTCATGTTGCTTTTTTCTCCCTCCTGGCAATAAGTTAGTTTTCCATCCAGAATGATTTCAAGCATCTCTTTATTTACAGCAGCACCGAAGGGAGCTGGATCACTCAACTCAGAGGCTGTGGCGATCAAACTCTCTCCAGATGAGTCAGTCCCGTTAGCTCTGTCCTCACTAAGGAGCAGATCACTGTCTGCCACCTCCTCCAGACCCTGGTCCTCTGTGACGGGGCTGTCTGGCAGGGTGGCACACAGTGCTAACAGCTTCCCCTCCGAGTCGCTCGTGTACTCCAGGCTCTGCTCATCCCTCACAGAGTGGTCCTGAGCCATCTCCATGCTCTGCAGCAAAGATTCCAGTTTCTTGTTTTGAATGTTTATGTCTACGAAGTATTTCTGAATTTTTTTGTCTTTCTCAGCCAAGCTGTTTTTCATGCTTTCAATAACCTGCTTAAGTTGTTTAATTTCACTTCTTGCTTCCTTTAAGGCCAGCTCTGCCTCCACACGATTGCACTCTTCCTCAATCCAGTCTTCCCTCATTCGTCCCAGTTGAGCTTTAAGCTCTTCTATTTCTGTTTCCCTGTAACAAAATAAAATGAGGTGACACTTCTGCTGACTGCTCAGTTAAAGTCAACATGAGGCCACACCCCACAGAGATAGCTCTGCTGCTGAGATGCTCCAAGAAGGAAGCAAATTTCTCCAGGTGCCATTTGTGGCCACCTCTGAGAGAGTCTATGCCAGCTGATTGTTAACGGGAGTTACTGACCTCCCCACAAAATCAGCAGCCTTGTGGGCTGTGCTGTGATCCTGGACAATTTGAGGCACAGGTGGTGACCTCTAGGTCAGGTCTAACCAGTGTAGTGCTTAAATTCTCCCCTACTGCCTCGCCCTGGAGGAAATGGGAAACAGCTGCCTGGATGCATCCCCAGTGCCTGCCAGCAGCTTGTCACATACCTCCAGAGCCAGTGCTGGCCTCAGACAGCCAGGGAGCTCAGGTCTGCAGGCTTTCCCCAGCAGGGAGCCAGAGGCTGCTGCAAGCACATGGGGAGCAAGTGGGGGAGAGGGGACTCCTATATCAATTCCAGGCCTTGCAGATGCAGAGGAAGAGCACTGGGTCCCTGGAACTCTGTCTTGGGCTCCATTCAAACAGCCCTTTGTGCCCCCTTAGGTTCTCTGTGCTGGAGAGCCAGCTCTCAGAGTGCAGTCTCACTAAAAGAGACATCTGTTGCTGCATAATGCACATTGTCACTTCTTTGCTCAGCATCCATACAAAGGGCTATTGTGAAAAAATCAGTATATAAGTGACAAAAACACTGGGAGAAGGAGGACATTGCAGTTCTACTTCACTGAGAGGTAGAACAGGATACTAAGGTATCCTGTTAATGCATGCTGGCAGGTAGAAACTGTTCTATGCATAAAAGGTCTCAATCTAAATCAGACTTGTAAAAAGTTGTCTTTTTAAAGTATTCTATTGTGTAAGTTCCAAAAAGGAAAAAGAGACAGCTATATTTATAGACAGACTCATTGTTTTGCATTCCCTTAGTACATTCTGAAATCTGAAATATCAAAAACAACCTAATATTTCAAATTTCTTAATGGAAACTTCATTGATCAAGAAATGAGCAAAACCACTCAGGTTTACCATCCCTAAATGTTCCCAAATAAATCTTTCTGACTGATTTCTGAAGTGAGGCTTACCTTTCTTTAAGTTTGCTTTCAGATTCCTTCAGCTTGGTTTTCAAATGCCGTACTGCCACTTCTTTCTGCTGCAGAGGAGTCAAATATTGCTCTGGATTTTGTGGCTTAATGCTGTGATTGTCACCACAAGAATTGTATCTCCCTGATCGTCTGAAAAAATCCAAAACAAACCATCACATACCATCACTCTTACAGTTCTTACATCCTGGCAGAATGAAAAGCATCCCATTGACTGATAAATGCAAACCTTGACTCATCTGGGGCTCCTCAGTGTCCACACAAGTTACTTCACCTTGCAAGTCAAAGTACCTGAGGAACCAGCTGATTTTTAGCTACAGTGCAAAATTTACTATTTATTGTACTTGGCTTCATTGTCATTACATCAAATGAGGCTTTTAACTTTAAAATACCTGGCCATCCCTTCACCCCAAATGGGTGGTGTGCCCAAGAGCAGGCAGGGCAAGGGCACCCATCTACAGACAGCCAGGCGAGGCAGCCCAGGGACTGAGTTCAGCTCCACACAGGAGTTATAAAGCTGAGCACACTGAAAACTACACTCATCCTGTCTGTTTTTGGGTGTGTATCTTACATGCTTGGCTGCCAAGTTGTCTGGGAGAGAGGGCAACAGCAGTAGCATGGTGGCCATTTCTTCTCTGCCACGTGTCACATGCTCTGGCAGGTATCTGTGTTCTTTCCTGTACAGGAAACTGCACTCCTTAGGGAGGTGCCGAAGGCTAGGCGGGGTGAATTTTCACCCAAGTGCATCTTGCTTCCTACACTACCCCACCCAACTCTCTCCAAACTGAAAAGAACCCTACAACAAACGAACCAGTAAATCCTCATAAGAACTGATGGCATGAAAATGCATGAAATAGCCTGCCTTGAAGTGAAAGCCAACTGCAAAGGACTTTGAGTTAAAGTAAACTGGAATTTTACAGTGCTGAAAAAATAGAGCTTTTACAGGGTATGGAGAACTTTGCTGACTGCTAAGTCACCTATACAAGGCATCACAGCTATGGTGAGGAGCAAGATGACCTGCATGGCAACTCCTACAGCTGATTCCAGAACACAGTGCAGAGGTCTTACTGAAATTAAGGTGATTTTAGGGCTTCATATTATACTTGGTACCATTTTTTTTCCCACAGCCAGTAACTTTACTTGTTAGATGTAATCTAGAGGATTACACCAGGACCAGGAGGCTGAAACACAGACTTGCCTCATCACTGGACTGCTGTCACTTCCTTTGTATGAGCCTGAGTTGCTGCTGCTGGCTGAAGAAGCTCTATAACTCTGATGGATGTTAGCAGGACTCAGATGGTTTTTGCACAGTGTTGATGAAGCGTCCTTGCCGTGTGAAGCAGGTGGACTGGCTCCAGACTTGTAGGATAAGGATCCATTATTCCGACCATAAGGACCACGACTGGAGAACAAAAATGGTGAAAACATTATTCTCATCACACAACCCATTAGGTGTCTTACTTTACACACAAAGTTCTCTAAACAATAAACCAGAGAGATAACTGTGAGTAGCTGGAAAGAAATAAAGTTCTGAAATGATCAGCCACTGCATGTTCTGTCACTGGCAGAGGGCTCTCAGTCTGAATTATGTGTTCTAAGGAAATCTCAGCCATTTTACATCTCTCTGTGGACAGCACAGCTCCCAGTGACTTCATCAGACCATCCATGTTCCCTGAATCTTTGACTCTGTTAAGTAATGAGAGGCCTGTGGTCTGGACTAATGCCAAAAGAACCACACTCCAGCTTTCCCTGGCCAGGCCTGCAGAGTGGTGTCTGTGCATGGAGGGTTGCTGTAAGACTGCTTTCATGCTCCTCAGCATGCAGCCTGGGGGATCACAGTGTGCACTGAAAACAGATTCTGTTTGGGCCACTGCTCTTTTCTGCCTTTGGCATACTGGGTGCTTCATCTGTCATGGTCAGCTATTCATTCACTTCGGTATAGCTTGAACCCCACGGAGAGCAGGCTGAAATAGTATTAAAAGAGACAAAGGAAAGCACAGTCTTCTCTTTTTTCCTTCCAGTTTTTCTCATACATATTTACCTTTCTTTTCCCATTCTTTATTAAAGAATCTTTCAACTGTGTGTGCTTGAAAGCAATTGGTATCCTCCCTGCCTGACAGCTGCTCAAGGGCTGGAGTGCTCTGAGGCCACCTTCTTGGGATGTGTCCCTCTCCTGCTCACTTGGTTTGTCATCCTACACTACTACACTGCTACCTTCATTCTCCCATTGAAGTTGTTCTTCTAAATGGTAATGAAAGGACATGTTTAAAAAAATAAAAAAAAAAAAAATATCAATCAGAAAATACCAGGAAAAGGCAAACCCTGCCAGGCTTGAATATAAAAAATCAAATACCACAGAACTATGAAGCAACATGTCTTCTTTAAATTGTTTCACTTGGTTTTTTCCCTTCTCTGCAAACGGAACAGTTTATAAGGAACAGATGGTTGAGTGGCTGCTGCGAACCTTCATCACACTGCTGTGGTTTGGGTGATTTTGTAATTATTTTACAATGAAGTACAGGACTGTGGTTTGTGACAACACTGAAGTATTTCATAGCAAGTAAAGTCGAACAGTTAAAAAAGAACATACTGCAAAGGAATTATCTCTTTCCAGTTTATACAGTGTATCATCAGCTCTGGTGTGTGGTAGAACTTGCAGAGACTGTGCTTAACATAGCAGCGCATCTGGAGGAGCCTTATTACCGAGGAATTCTGTCCGATCCAGGATGCCAGTATGCTCTAGTTTAAAGTTATATTAACATGCACAGTAGTATATAGGGCTTCATATTATACTTGGTACCATTTTTTTCCCCACAGCCAGTAACTTTCCTTGTTAGATGTAATCTAGAGGGAACTTCAGTAGCGTTTATTTTTCTATCAGTCTCATGATACAGACAGGGAAGCACTCTCAAAGCCTCATTCTGCTGAGCTCTGTATGACGGGACACATCGCGGCCTGCAAGACGCCTGTGTGACTCAAGCACACGGGTCTCCTGCTGCCGGTCCCAGCCTGCCTGCCAGCTCTTCCATGGCAGGAAACCAGCCCTGTCCATCTGAACTCCTTCCTCCTGCTCCACTAAATGTAACCAGCAGGGACTGCGTGGGCAGAACGCAACGTGCACTGCTCCATCCCAATGCCCCTGTATTCTCAAGCTGTCCGAACCTGCAGTTCACATATGACAGGGAGAAATCTTACAGAAATCTTTCATGAACAGTTCATTTAGACAGGTGACTATGATACTTTTTTTCTTTTTTAAATTGCCTGTAGGCTGGGCAAGGGTACTTCAGAAAAAAAAAAAATAAAAAACCATCAAAGGTAATACTGTCTACTTCTTAAAACAAAAAATAAGATCATGATCTGGAAAGGTGTAAGCTGACCTGACTATTTATGACAGAGATAAAACAAAGTGCTAAGACCAGAAGGTTTAGGTTAACTGGTTAGAAATACTGCTGTTAACTAACATACCCAGCTCTCCCTCCACTCCAGCCAATGCCTGGATTGTATTTCCCACACTTGCCACGAATAAACAAATAAACCCCAACAGCTGGCTGATCTGGCATACTGACAATTTTTGTGCACTGAATACAGAATTTTTTTTCTTTCTTATATTGCAGTTCTCACCAGCATGCTACCCAAGAGCCTTGTGTTAACCCAATTGTTTTAAAATGCAACACCTTACACAGTGGTCTCTCTTTGCACTAGCGACATTCAGGAAAAATTGCTTTGCTTACTTGCGAGAAAAAGAAGATCTCTTGCTTCCAGCAGCTGACATATGGACTTCAGGTGCTGAAATACTGCCTGTGCTGCTTGAAGAGCTAAAATCAGCTTCACTGCCTGGAAAGGAAAAGGAAAGAGTGAAAACATGATGGAAATTATAACTCAAAAGATTGTTTTCAAAATAACAGTGAATCACAAGCATCCTTCCTTTGTCTGTTCTGGGTGAATTTCAGAAGTTGCATGGATTTTCAAACATCCCTGAGGACAAGAACTGGATTTGTTCCAGATTTTCAACATTTCTTCAGAACTGGCACTTCAGACAGAGCAGAAAAAAACATTTGGACACAAAACCCTCACACTACAGAAGCCATTTTAGGTCTCAGACAGGAGCACTTGTGTTGTGACAACCTGTTTGCTCCCTCACAGCCATTGATAGATGAATGAGGCTGCTCACATGGCTCCTTCAGGAACACAGTGATTAGAACACACTGCTGTAACTGGATATTTCTCATGCTTTAAACCATACAGAAACATTGCTCACTGCTTCTGTTTTGTTTAATGAGATAACATAAATGTTTATTTATATATATATGTATGTATAAACCTGTACAGGCTAACAGCACATCTATATATTTATCTACACACATATGCAGGTTTTCATGTGGTACAGAAGCATAGTGAGGCAGTTCTAATAACCTTAAAATAATCCAGTAATCACATGTAGATCTCAGGTACCAAGTCATCTGTCTGATTGCTGATTTTCTAAGGATCACAGCTTTTATTTCATAAGCTCTGGCATATACAAGGGAAACTGCTCTCATTTTGTTAAGGTCAGTAGCAGATAGATTTGCTTAGAAAATCTTATCCTCTGGAAAAAAAAAATACCAAAGCTATAATTTTTTTCTAATCTGTCAGTCCAATGGCAAACGTTCTATGCCATACCCAGGTCTCATGCTGCAGAGCCACAGTAATGAATGGTGACTTTAGCAGAGGGGATTGAAATAACTCTCCAACATCCTTTAAGTGGCTGACCAAGGGGAGCATGTCTCACCTGGGAATTTCTGGATGTCATCCCATGGATAGACATCCCCAAGGCAGCAGCTGCAAACTTGCAGTTTTTACAATCCTTTCCACAAAGGGGAGATGCAGCTGCAGCCACCATCATCCTCTCACTGCAGCTAGACCTCAATCTCCCTTAAATTCTTCACAGGGCTGATGGTAAAGGGCGCACCTTTCACCCTGAACACCTGAGACTGGGAAAAGGCTTTGTCAGAACCTGGCTTCACAACCTTAAAGAGGCTGAGACAGCCAGCAACCAGTCTTACCATGTGGCAACACTTAGCAACTGGCCTTAGGATAAGGTGTGATTGGATTTAACCCAATACTTTCCCTACCTCATGACATCTGAGACCAGCCTACATTTTTCTGTGCCTCTGCATCAGCCCATCCCAGGATATTCCTCAGCTTCATTTCAAAGTGCTCAGATACAAAGCTCAGCTCTTCAGAAGGGAATCCCAGGGACCCAGCTCTAGCACCTCTAACCTGCTCCATATCCCGTACAACACCTCTGGTAATAAGACCCAAGCTACCACAGCCACAACCAGATCAGAGCTGCGTGAAAATTTGCAAGGGGAGGGAAGGAAAGCAGCAAAGACACTTGGTTTCACAGGGAATTTATATCATGTTTACAGATGTAAATGTGAGTGACCCTCTCCTTAGGGAAGCAAAATGATCATGGGACATGACATTCCCAGATGCAACAGAATTTTCCTGATAAACAAAATATCCCCATCTACAAGACTAATGTACGCTCCATGTAATGTACACTCTTGGTATCACACTGCACGCAAAACTACTCTTCTAAACAAGACCCAAACAAGTAAACACGTCACACAGATATCATACCTCTGGTGTTTGGGTCCCCAAAACATTCCAGCGCTTGCAAGACACCAGCAGCTTCCCCAAGTCCTGGCTGTGGCGCAGAGAGCAGGAGCCCTAGCCAAGGTTCATCTCTGGGTAAGCAGATCACATCATAATCAGATCTCGCTATCGAAAGCATTGCCGAGTGGCAAGGCTTAACAAGCGCCTCTTCCTGACCTGCCTGGCTTGGAGCACCAAGAGCTGCAGGGCTGGGCACTGCTGGCAGGAGCCAGCAGAGCCTGAAAACACAACCCCACCATCAGCAGAGCTTTCTGAAAGACTGAACCGCATCTGAGACCAGGAACTGTGTCTGCAAAGTATGAACTAACCTTTCTGGCCCCAGTTCTAATAACAGCTACACACAAGCTTAACACTTAGCACAGGAGACTGCTTATGTTTAAAATTAGGCATGTGGCTATTTATAGGATCTTTGAGAACATTTTATAAGTTAAAGGGGTCACTGCTAGTGATGGTTCCAAGTGTATAAATTATGTTCAAGCCAGTTTTGTGTGTAGCAGAGCTTGACAGAAATGCTATTAGGAGACTTTAAAAAATATCTTCTCCCATTTGGTAGACATCTCTCAGCAAAATAACATGGCATCTATCCATAAAATATCTATTGCAACGTATTCTCCTGGGTAGGCGTGACTTCTGTCTTACAAATATCTTAACAAAACATGAAACTCCTTGTCTTAGCAGCAGTGCAGGCAGGGGCTGAACACAGCTTCTCATTCTCCTAACTCCATTCTCCAGGTGACAGCTTCCTAAGAATGCCTGTTGACTCTTTCTGTCACTGTAACTATGTAATGACAAAAGCTCACATATGTAAGCCCCAGAACAGCCCATTAATTTAGTGCTAACTATGAAAGAGGCTGACATTTCTCAACCCCGCATTCCTTTGTCCTAACTGGCCATAACACTTGTTTAGCTTCAATCACAGACTTTCCTCTTAAAAGGAGCGTCTCACTAACCCCTTGCTGCAAAAGATGCAACACGTTGAGTCACCACCTTCAGCCGTATGTCACTTGGACTTCACTCGTTCATGTTCTTCCACGCTGCAGCCATCGGTGTCCCAGCCCATGGAGGCCGCCCGAGCCCAGGCCGGGAGCCCGTCCTGCCGCCTCCCCCGCCCGCCAGCGGGCTCCGAGCACGCCGCGGGAGCAGAGCTCTGCACTGCCCTGTGCAATGGCAGGAACAGCACAAGGATGGCCAACGAAGCACCGTCACATTTTCCAGGGTTGCTCCTTGCCGGGAAGGGGATTGTGAGAAGCAAGAGTGAAACCCTGCAGAGCCCGGTGCCGCCCCCGCACTTCACCGCTCGGTGGCTGCGAGCTGAGAGCGCTCTGTGCTGCCTCTCGCCTCCTTGCTGCCCCGACAGCATCGCGACAGTCACCGGGCCGGGCTGACACCGAGCGAGGAGAAGGAAGGCCGTGCCAGCTGCCGAGCTGCCCGTGACGAGCCCGGGCAGAGGCACACAGGGTGACCCCGGTCCGCCGGACGCGGGTGGCATCGGCCACCGCAGCTCGGGGAGCTCACACTCGCCTGTCGCAGCACGGGAACCAACTGGGAGGCTCTCAGGAATGTCTCAAGGGCAGGTTTCCCATCCTGCAAATGATGCAATTACAGATGCGGGGGCGGCACTGAGCAGCGGGAGAAGGAGCTGCGTGTGCCAGGTTCGCCTCCAGCTGGCAGCAGCTGCTGTTTGTGCAGGGCAGCCACCACCCACTCGGTCCCGACGAGCCTCACCCCTAACCCGCCTCAGCCGCAGTGCAAGGACAACAGCTGTACCCGACTGTATCACACACACTGCACTCACACCTCTTACAGGTAGAACTGATCACCTTCTGCAGGTACATTGGGCCTACAATGTATATAAACCACAGAGCTTAGCTCTCTTTTGACTCCATAAACATGACCTCTTTATATGTGTATCAGTCTTGAAGTAGGTTTTGCATACAGCCAGTGAAACAGAGCTGTAAATAAAACAGCGTTGACAGAAACAGCTTGTCCTCAAAATGTAAAGCACTTAAATTTGCTGAGCTTTCTTGCCTTCAAAAGCACTCTGTTATACAGAAAAATGACCAAAATATTCATACATATTAACCTCTTTGGTGCAGCTACTTGAGAAATATGTGACATGCTGTCTCTATAGATAGCTTGTTTTAGAGACCCCATGGGTAGAGCTTTGGCCTGACCGTGTGAAAAAATATCCAGCAAAGTCATTAGAAGCAGCTGGAAAAGTAGAGAGAATTCAGTTGTAATGCCCACTAAAGAAAGGGCCTGTATTTTTAAGAGATTTGGTTCAATTTAACTCACAGCTACATCTCTAGCTCCAATATTTAACATCATAAGCAGCATATTTCCAGGAACCACTAATGCTGCTTTTATTTTTCTATTTAATATGGGGCTGTTCCTGCAAGATAGATTTTGTGTGCCACAAACAATCTAGGAAAGAAAACCACACTGCTCACATGCACTGAAAAACTTAAAAAAAATAAGCTGCAAAGAAGCAATGCTTCCTTTAACATTCCAGGCTTTTCTTCAGATAACAGCCTTAAAAATGACCCATTTTGAAGGCCAAGTCTCCTAGTGGGAAATGTGCTGAATTCAAAGTGTCAAGACCATAGATGACAGTGGGTTTTGGTTCCAGTTCCTGGCCTTTGACTTTATTACTTGTTTGACTTAGGATTATTGTATGGGAGGCTCTTATTTTGGAATTAACTATTACATTTCACACTGAACAGTAACTGGGTAAAAGCAGGTATAACCTTGAGAGCAAGGAACAGGTCACAGCTCTCCTCCATGTGGACTGCTGTAATCTTTGGGTGACAGAAGCTGCTCACACATGCTCTGCCTCTGCCTGTATCACTCTCTCCACTGTAATGAGTTCTAACATCAGGGGAGGAAGTTGAGGATGCCCAGTAAGTTGCACTGGTTCAGGAACTCTTAGGAGAAGTGTAGATTCGAGTTCCTTTGGTCTAAAGAAGGCACTGGACTCAGACCTTTTCCTCAAGCTCTAACTGCTTGGACTGGTAGCACTAGCACTGCCCGAATTTCTGAGGAATGAAACCTGCTGGATGCCTGCTCTCACAGGGATGGTCTGGCTCTGGTATGGAGGCTCACAGTGAATCCAAGCCATGCACGTGGGCACACCCAGGACTACAGGCAGGTGACCAAGTCTGGGAGATGGGCACTTCTCTCTGCCTCTCCTGTGGGCATGTGTGGCATGCTCTCTGCTGTGAATCTTGAATTTTAGTACCTAATCAGCCCTCTGATTTTATGAGGTTTAGTCATCAAACTCACATTTGTGAGTTGTGCTCCATGAATGATGGCAAGAAACTGAGTACAGCAATGTCTGGCATCCCTTCCCTATCCCACTGCACTGGCCAATGAATGAAGCCATTACTGTCCACTCTTGGGTGGACCCAACTGCTCGACAGTGCTCCCTCAGCAGACAGGTCTGTGGTCACATTTCAGATGGGTGCTTGGCCCAGTCACAGCTGGGAACTTGGGCAGCTGGCAGATACACAGTCAGAGGGGATGTGGAGCAAAACTTTGGGTGTGGGTCTCCATAAATCGTTCAAATGTTTTGGGCAAGAAGACTTCCAGCTCAAAACCAGACAGCCTTTTGGGAAGGACTACAACACAGATCGTGCTTCCCTGTCTTTGGATCTAAATGCAATTTTATAAATTATTATTTATATTGATTTTCACTCATTTTTCTTGCTTATTCTTTTTACTTTGAAAGAAGGATTATTATCAAATAATTAATCTCATTAAGCAGTTTTCTGATCTAAGTACTATAGTTGTAGTAGTAATCTGAACCACACTAATGCAAATTATAAGCATTGCAGATCTCAACATGAATACATAATGTGACTTATGTATTCTGTGAAACCACAATCAATCAAGCTCTTCTCTCAAAACACAGTCACTACAAAATAATTACTGACATTGGCTGAGAGCCATCATGCATATTCTGCATATCACTATGATCTGGGCTTGTGTTTTTCTTAATTGTTTCTAATTCACTGATTTGTAGAGAAGCCAAAAGCTAATGTTGGAATAGACAAAGAGCATTACAAGTTGGAGTTTTTTGTTGCTTTATGTATTTTTAAGGATATTATTCTTACAGAAGTCAGCCTGACCTAATTATTTTTTTGTGCTTGTATATGGAGCTTGAGCCATTCTACCAATGCCTTAAAAACAGCTTCCATAATTTCACTCTTCTCAGCCTGAAGTGACCTTTGTCAGGGGAACATATGCTCATGGAGCAGAAGGGAACAGTCTGGGGAACTTATCTTCATGTTCAAACAAAAAGGTTCTTTGTTATTAGAGACAGAAAGATGCTCCTTTCTTACACCAACCTCAATACAAACATTGAGACTGGAGGTTCAAAAAATACACTGGAAGTTGTATAACATAATGCTAACTTGCATTTGACAGTTTTATAAATTATTTCTTCCATCCACCTATGGACACTTATTTTTTATTATTTATTTTTTATACCCATGCAGTATCACCCAAGGGGATTTTTTTATGTACCGGGCAGTACTATTTGGTCTTTTTGAAGGGAAATGGATAGGCTGGTCAGAAGTATTTTTAGGAACTGGAAAATGTCATCTTTGGCAGGGATAACTTAGCAGTACACAGAGAGGCAGCAAACTTCATCACAGACTGGGAAAAGATCCCAGCCCTCCCGTCACGTTGGTGGCAGAAGTTTAACAAAGGGCTTTCAGAGGCCCCTTCAACACATCTCCTAAATCTGGTTCCTGGTGCAAGGAGGAGAAAAGCTGTCTGGGGCACAGCAAGGAGCTGCACAGGCCCACGGGCACAGTGTATCTGCAAGTGCATGAAATTGCATGCAAAACCTGATTCAAGTGAAAGCTTTTGCATAGTCACCCTTAATATAAGACATATGGTTTTCATTACAAAGTGCATAAAACATTTTAAATCAGTTTGACATGTTTTCAACAGGCAAGGGAAAAACACTGGAAGGAGAAACATATCTGGGAGGTAACTGATGAAACAACCCTGAAATTCCAGGATAAAAATCAAAATTTGTTGTAAGCGAATAAAATATTTACTGTAACACACATGTTGAAATTATTATAAAAAAATGAATAAAGTTCAAGTGCCATCTATTGAAAAGAACAGTAAAACCTTACCCAGTTGGTTGCATAAACTATATTTTTTACAGTAACAAATCTAAGGTAGGTCTGAGGCCAATGCATTTCAAGTTATGACTGCCATCATTTTGCTGCTTTTTCTCACTCTTACTGGACACACAAGAAGCCTGTGTTGTTTCTGCTTATTGATTCTTGCAGGTGTGTGGTCAAGTTGTACTCCACCAGCTCTAGCTAACATTCAGCCTGCCCAGATTTCAAAAGCAAACAGCTTCCTATTATTTACAGAATCTAAGAACGGTGGAACACTGACCTCATGATCAATGAAGTGCCTCAGCATGGAAATAAGACAATGTAATACTAATAAAATATGAAACAAACCTGGCAGAATTTTAATTTCTTTTAAATACATTTTATGTAATGATGTATATAAACTACACTGTTACAAAGCAGGTTTGTTATTTTTTTATGCCACATTAAAGGCAGTACATTTCAGACTCCTTGCAGAAGTGATGTCCACCTTGCAGTGGCTGGAGGATGAATGTACAAAACGAGGCCAGGTCTCCATATCCTGGGGGAATTTGGGAACTGGTGCTCTCCCTAATTGCCATCTCGACTGGGAACCACCTCCCACCAGTCTCACTCAGCAAAATTTCTCAGCTCTGACAAACTCTTGTTTCTGTGCATGCCTAGAAGCAGGTCACCTTAAAAAGCGATGAGCAGTTTAGTGTCTCTTTTGAAAGACCTGGGTGTATGTTTCACACTACACCACATAAATCAGGATCCACACAAAACAATCCAATGACAGCTCTTTAATGCTGTGTGCTTTACTGGGGAAATGCAGGCTCCACCTGGGATTCTTAGGGCCAGGCTTAGCTTTGCACTGGGAGGATGCTGCACATGATCTCCCCATCACACCCCTGGAACACAGCATCCATCAATAAGAACTTGATAAAGAAATGAGGTCCCATCCTTGCAGACTGTCATGCCCTTCTCCAGCTCCTCCATAAAACCACATAGTTTGGAATGCCTATCTTCATTAACCCCAGCTAAATGGGTGAAATCCATACAAACCTGAGTTTTCCACAGCTCCCACGTCCATCAGGAGACTCCACCCTGCACACAACACAGATAAGAAAACTATTCTCTGCAATCTAAAGTTTTAGCAAAGTTGGGCAACTCCTATCTAATTTTTCTGTCTGCTGGGTTTTATTTATGAGTACTGTGGTTTCTTTACTAGGACAGGGACTTGACTTCATTTTTCCTTTCTCCTAGGCTCTTCCCAAGCTCAGAATTCTTAACTTCATGGGAGAACCAAAATGGAGTGAAGACATCTAAAGCACAGCTTCATCAGGATTTAGATATCTAGGTACGCAAAAGCAAGTAAAATACCACTACTTAAATAGGCCAAATGTTTAAAATGACACCACCATCTGCAAAGATCTGGTAAGTTGCTTATGCTTGACCTTCCACTTCTGACTCTACTCACCACCCACTCACCAATGCCTTTATACGACAGTGAAATCAAGTAAGTGAGATTTGCCTGACTAAAATAAAGACATTCCCTTAGCTTTCCATTCCCATGCATAAATACAGATATATAAACATGAGGAATATACAGATTTATCCACTCAATACTGCTCTAAGTAATGGCTCTGAGGGAAACAAATCTTTTAGGTAGTAATTTGGTCACCTAAAAAAAACAGATCAGAGAGCACTAAAAATATTTATGATTTGAAGTTAAACATGGCCAGAAAAATGGAAATCAGATTTTTCTACTTTCTGTTTGAAATGATGCTTTAATTATGAAAACAAATGCCTTTCTTCTTTTAAAAACGGGGTAAAACATAAAAAAAGATCCCAAAAAATTCAAAATACTTTAGATTGAATATGGCCTTTGTTCAGTTTGAAACAAAGATTTTCTTTAATGTTTTGATTTGGCAGCAACTTCCAAATCAATTGTTTGCATAGCTCTGGTTGGAACATAGTAAGATGTCAGACAAAAAAGCAAGAGGAGAAAGAAAAATAGAAAAGGAAATAATCTATCAATTCCTGAGTAAACACTGCTCAGAAAACACTTTAAATCCCATGATTCTCATTAAAAAGGCATTAATAACCTGGATAAATTCCAAAAAAGGTCAACAATAATGATAACAGCATTACAGGGCACTGTTTATGAAATGAGATTAAGGGAATGCAATTAGTTTATTCTAAGATAAAAATGCATACAAACAACACAGTTTATCATGGGAGGAGGAATACAGCTGGAAAACTGTAAAGAAAACTATGTAACAGCAACACAGGGTTCTGGCTGTGATGCATGTTATTTCATGAAAAGTTACTTGAAATAAAAACTCAGTGAGTGGGAGTTGTGCATAGTAAAATGTATCTGGAGTAGGTTCAGAATACTGTAACCAGGGTAAGTTAGGAAGCTATTTTAAACATTGGCACAAATAATACAGATTGTAATTTAAAAGCTGAGGACAAAAAGTTTTCCTAAGGGAAGATCCATAATGGACTTTTTCGTATGCACAGTATTTAATTCTGTGAATTACAAAACCCACAAAAAGCAACCACAAGGCACAGAAAACTCACTGCAGTAAATACACAAATTTCAAGGCATGTTCTATGTTGACCTCACACACATTTTAAAACAAATACTTAGGAGTGTGCAGCGTGTATAGCATTGGTTTGGTTGGCCCTTTCTGGCTCAAATTCGACTCCGGATTAGCAGAGGAGAAAAAAACCCAAACAAACCTGCTTGGATATACAAAAAGAATTTTATTGTTTTTACTAAAGATCACAGCTATTGCCATCTTTAATACCAACCTCTAAAGCCCAGGGCCCCTCTTACGCCAGGCCCTCAGCTGTCTGCCCGATGCAGGAGCACGTCCTCGCAGGCCCCAGGAGCCCTTCATTGCCATCATTTGGGTCTGAAGGATGCATTGTGTGGCAGGGATCTCGTGCTGTGCAGCCTCCCAGGCACTTCTCTCCCTGCAGAAGCCCCATCCCAGGTCCCCTGCTCACCCTCATCTGCACTCAGGGCAGGGGCTCTCTCCTGGGCCAAGCGCGAGGTGAAGCCCCAGGCCGCAGGCAGCCTCGGCCGCCATCTCCCTGGAACAGCGGCTGTCCCACTTTCTGTGTGTCCTGAGCAGCACCAGGACAATTAATGGGCCAGGGAGAGACAGACAAAGGAGTTGCCGTGTGCCTGCTGGGAACTCAGCTTCGAACCGCAGTGAAAGAGTAACTAAATGGAAGCGGAACAGCTTCCCTGGGAGCAGGCACCCTGCATCCCCTCAGCCTGCCCGGCGGCTCTGTATTAGGGCACTCCTCTCCTTTGTGCTACAGGCCATCCCCCAAAATACATACAAAGAGACCTAAATCTAAGTTTCCATTAGCTGAACTAAGCAACGTGGACATCCTTTTATTTATTTCTTTTATTTTTAGTAAGGAAGGAGGTATGTAACAGCAGACTTTTGGCCAAGGCTCTGAATTGCAGGTGGCCAGCCCAGAGCTGGGCAGGTCACTGTGTAGAACAGGTGGGACTCAGGCTTTCAGCTTTTACTTGCCAATTTCTCCTTTACAACTTGCTGGCTTCTTTTTTGGATCCTCTATTTTTGCTGTGACATCTGGGCACTTCTTGACTCTAAGAGTCTTCTGAACAAAGTAATATATGTCCCGAGAGGCCGCAGCCTACCCACTAATTGCCTATGTCTCTACTTAGCAACATCTAAAACAATTTTTTAGAAGGGGTTGGATTATAAAATTTGTGACAAAGAATTAAAAGATGGTTTTTGTATACCGCTTGAACAGGAAATTGTAGATTTGTGTTAAATACTATGAAATGCTTTGAAGTTGAAGCATTACTTGTAGCTTCTATTTTGCTTATTTCATATTTACAAGAAATATTTGGGTATTTGAACATGTTCTTCCCCATCAATTCAAGCAAATTTGTTTAAATTAAAAGTTTAAATCTAAAATACATATAAATCTAAACTAAAAACCTACTGCTATGCCAATAATTTTTACCTACTTTTCTAAGCATCTTTTGCTTAAAATATTTATATTCTGGTTATAATCCAGTATTATTTTTCAGAAGTTACAGAGGACTTATTTCATTTCAGTGTGAGTTAGTAGCTTTAGGACTTCAGTTAGTCCTAAAAATATTTAAGTTCTGTGAATCCACAGTGCAAAATGGGATACAGAATCTCCCATTGCAATGGTAAGCAGCTTGGGAAGCAGTCCTCACTAAGTGGACAAACGGAGAGTGCCTAAGCTTATCAGAGTTGAATGGAAGAGGAAAAAGCACCTAATTAGAGGTACTTGAAGGTCTATGTGTGCTTTTCAAGCACAAACTGTCTTCCACAACTGAAGGTCTAAGAACTTCCCTTTCTATTAAAAAAAAGAAAGAAGCCAAAAAAGAGAAAGAAAAGCTACAGATACTATGGTTGACTTCAGCAAGAGCCAACAGCAGAAGTGTCAGAGGCCTGATGAGGACACAGGAGATGCAGGTAGGATTCATCTGACTAAACATGGAAGTCTCCCATGTCTGAGCCAACCTCAGTCCCATGCTCAGTCAACATAATCAGTTAAGTAAATGTTTTAACACTTGGTCAGGAGGATCACACACCAGATACAGTGGCTTAATTCTTTCTACCTCCTTTAAAACAAAATAGGACCTTAGTACACTCATGTAGGCAAAGATAATTCCTACACCACAAATTGGGAATTGAAGTCACATAAATTAGGGGCCATATCTGCTCTGTTCATCTAGGATGAAGACCATGAATTCACATGTCCCTCACCTCCAAAATAGCTCCTGTAACCCCTACAAGGGAAATGGCAGGTTCACCTGCTAAAGCTGTTTTGTGTCCCTTGAGCAATGGAATCAATCACTTAGACCAGAGAAAGAGAGTCAGACCCCATTTGCTACTGAAGGCTATCTAAGGAGACAATGACAGTCATGTTTGACTTCTTCTGCATCACAAAAGGTGAGGGATTTATTCCAGACAGAGGAGCTCCAACCAACAGGATCTACTGGCTGTGCTGGGTCTAGAAATAGAAGGAAATATTCCAAGGGGCCATTAGAATCTGGATATCTCAGAGTATGCAGGGGAGGCTGGGCTTTGCAAATGCCAGATTCTCAGCAGTATCACCCCCACCACCATCCCTCAAACCTCACAGGCTGGCCGCCTTCCAGACCTTACTGACTGCTACAACCACCAAACCTCTGCAGGGTAAGGTCCCTCTGGGCTCAGCTCCCAAACACAAGCTCTGAGAACAGCATGGGCTGGAATCCAGACACGATGTCCTCACTCCTGGAGAGTGAGATGTGCATGTGCATCCCCCCCAGAGCACACCCTGCTCCTCTGGGACCCACAGAACCGAGGCCTTAATAACTCCCTGTGATGGCAGGTGAGGCAAGCAAATCTGCACAGCTCCATAGCAGAAGACATGAAAGTAAAGCAGTCAGATATGCAGGATGACTCAGCACATACAGAATTATTATCCAGAAGCATTTTTTTGTTTAGAATCTCAGCAGTACCTATTTTGTGTGGGTGCAAAATGAAAGGTGAAGAGAAAGAAGAAAAGCAAAATAACTGAAGAAAACTGCCACAACTGTATTTGTTAAGATTCTGTATTAGAAAAGGGTCTCAGAACCTTTAGTGTCACAAATGAAATGATGAAATACACATATTAGAAAGGGAGAAGAGTGCGACAAACTGTACAGGAAACAAATGTTGCCTACAGTTGGATCTGAATGTCAGGATGGTTATAATGGCTGCTATCAGGTATGAGATAGAAGTGAAGCATTCAAAGCATGTGCTTATATCTGAGAAAGATGCTTCCCTTTTTATTGACAAGGTGATGTTTTAAAAAACAGATCAAAAGCCTTCCAAAAGCACAAGTAGTTGACCACTGTGTATCTACTCTTTGCCAAATATAAAATGGCTTAAAGATACAATGCTCAAGTTAAAGCCCTCCTAATGTGGCTTAAATTACTCAGGGAACCTGGGCTTTTGCTCTTCCTCTTTTCACTTGCAACCTCCTCTGTACCAGTCAGAGAATCTGTGCTCTACACTTACCAATAAACTTCGTCAGATCAAGAGATTCTTTGCTATTAATTCAAGTAATTTAAGGGAAGAACTAATGGTCAGTCATAGGCAAGATGTTCCATCATTTGGTATCAACTCAATTCACTTGGTCAATCTTCAGAACCTCTTTTGGTTCTATCATCAATTATTTAAAGTACACTGAACCTGGTGTATCTCATTTACTAATTTCAGCATTCTTATGCATGCCAGCCACATATTAAGTAACTGAATATTCCTAGGAATGGAAGCATGGATTTCCCAATTTCACTACTCAAGTATGGTTATCACTGGTTACAGGATGGGAACATGGTGTTCACTGATTAAATACTGCATTTCTAACCGGGTTAAATGTTCTCTGACATACCCTTGTTCTAAATTATCCCTCCCCCAAGAAAAGGGGAAGTCTTGGAATGTGGGTTATGAGGTGCTGTTAAATAAGTTACAGCAAAAAGACAGACACCAGTCTTCTCATTGCTCTTACCTTTGTGGGATGGAATGAAGAATGCAAATTTGTTTTAAGGATCAGACAAGGCACTTTGCTGTCCAAATACAAGTTTTCCATTAGTTTTGTTTTGGGTTTTTTTTTCAAACAACCAAAGAGTGTGACTTTTTAGAATACACACTACACCACCATCAGCATTTTAAGAAGTGTTTCAATGTAATAGGTAGATGTCCTAGCCAGTAGTTAAAAAAATTCATGAGTTTCTTTGTGTGCCATAGGAATTGTTCAAGTTAGCACATTTTGTAACTAGGTTTTTGTATTCTGTACTGCTGGTCCTGAACAACAGGGACAACAGACCTATTATTTTCCAACTGCTCACAGAAATTTGGTACAGAGAATAAAGAAAAGTCATGCAAATACCAAATACAATGTTCTCGGATAAATGTGCCAGTAAAACATGTCTTTATAATGTTTTACCAATCTTTCCCGGATAAAACAAAGTTCTATCATTGCAAAATGATGCAATCAGAAGGAAGTTCTTGACAGTGAAATAAATTTCCAGAATTACCTTTAAGACAATCCTCTCACACAACTTACACACCAACTCATGTTTTTCAAATGAAGTGCACACACACACACACATCAGAGTCAGACATTGCTATTCCCACAGTCAGACTGAAATGAGGGAAAAAGTTGACAAAAGACTTCTAAAATAATACATACAGATGTCAGGAATATAACCTTAATCAAAACATTTATGTTTTGTTTTTAAAATAACCAAAGAGACTGCCTTTAGAATATAGACAGATATGGAAGTAAAGTAGCAATATGTATTAATTTATCAGCTGATTTTATACTAATGGATTAACTAGTCACTACCCTTGCTTTTAGAGGGGACTCCCAGAAATAAGTTCCTGGACATTTAGTGTCCTGGGAATCTAATCCTCACACACTAGACAATTAAAAAGAATAAAAATCCCCCAAACTTCAGGAAAAGCATTATGTTTTAACAGCTAGACATTGTTAACAGCTCAAATATATTTTGCAGCTAACACTTGCATTTCTTCTCTGATCTGTTTGGCTTATTTAAGTTCTAGTTTTAATATTTCCCGTTCTCCAGGGTGATTTTCCTTGCCTCCTTTTTGATCACTATCAGCTCCAACACTGACTAAAAAAGGACCTGCACCTATTGAATCCTCACAACCAAGTAAGGGCAATATATTCTGCTCCACCTGTCTCTCCTAAGATTTCTAATAGTTCTAAAGCCTTCAAAGAATAATCTGGTCAGACTGGGACATCCTATCCCAAGGCTGATTTATGCTGACTTAATAAATTCACCGGGAAAAAGTAGGAAACACATATTGAGTACAAAATTACTTACTTTGCCTTGTACTTAGCTATTTACTAAATAACATTTTTAGTTAAATAGTGATTATTAAAATATACTTTTTTTTCCCCAATGTACCTTCATTTTTATGAACTTAAGTGGCCAAGAAAGGGCAGGGAAAAAAATTGTGCCTTGCAACTACTTAACTACAGATCTGGCTGATGCACTATTAAAGGACAAAAAAAAGTTTAGCAACACAGGGTTACAGAATCACTGGGAGGTAAAAGGGACCTTTTGAAGCCACCCAGCCCAGTTCCCCACTCAAACAAGTCTAGCTGGACCAGGCTGTCCAGGACCATATCCAGTTGAGTTTTGACTATATCCATGGATGGAGATTCCACAGCATCTCCAGGCAACGTGTGCCGCTGTCTGACCACAGACAAAAAAAAAAGTGTTTTCTTGTGTCCAGATGGAATTTCATGTTTTTCAATTTGTGCTCATTGCCTATTGTGCAACAAATGTAGGTGCTCTGTGTGGTGGAAGCCTCTGAGATTTTCCCATTCATCTGAACAGAATAAAGTTTTAATGCCCAAATTCCCAGTGATGACCCTTTTTGAAACATAACCCATAGCAATTCAATGACACTGAAATTCAAAATATTGCTATTTTAGCCATATTTAGTAATAAATGACCAAATGTTTTATTAGCAGTGAAATAACAAAACCCTTTTTGCATAGTCCTCTGCTACCTGTAATGTTGTTTATTGTACCAAGATGGGAATGACAGAGAGCCAGTCCTTACCAGGTTTGGGAGCTGACCCTAACTGGGGCTCACCTAGGGCTCCTTTTGTTCAATGGTGTTTACACCTCTATTCTGCAGGATCCTGAAGGTGCTAAAAGGTCTGGGACAACCTTAATGTTTTCTTCTTAGGTCTTAACAATTTCAAGTGAAACTTCAGCAATTCCGTGGGCTCTAAGAAACAGCTCCAACAGCAAGCATTCAGTAAACCGTCCCAAATGTGCCTGTAGCACTAAAAGCAAGAAGACCAGAACTTTACAGAAATGCTGAACATTTGATCAGACGCCCTTCTCAAATTCTGATGCTCACAGAGATTTAAATACATGTCTGTGTTAAACATGCAAGACTTTTAAAAGTTATTGACACAACTTCTGCTAAAGATTCTCTTCTTTATCCATGTCTTTGAAAGAGGCATATTTTGAATCCTTTTACCAAGTGTTCTAATGGAAGTCAGAGAAGAAGATGAGAAAGACTGCTAAAGGAAGCAAAACAATTCCCACGGTTCTCAACAGGATGTGGACATGAACTACAGGAATTCAGGAGGGATCTTCCTAGAAAGACTTCACAAGAATGTGAGCATCTAGAAGTGTTTATGGTCCTGTTTATTCAATTACAAAAATGGTAGGACTAAGCACAGCATCTTAATACAAAACTAAGATGAACATTAATTCTTTTTGTGCCTTTTTGTGAGGGCATTTTCTGCAACACATTTTGTATTGCTTTTAATATTATATAAATAAATTACATCTAAAAGAAGGACCAACTTCTAAAATCCAGAAATTTAGAAATTAAATGTAGCTGTCTTTGAGAGTGGATATTCTATTATCATCCTTAATGTTCCTGTTCTCTCCATCCTTCCCTGGGAAAGCAGGCACCTTTAAGCCAAATTCACTTCTACACTGCTGTGATTCGGATTAATGCACAATAAAAACCATTTTCATATCTCTCAAATGAATAATTTCTCTGTGATTATAAATATTTTATAGGTTTAGCAAGAGCATTCCAGGATTATGTATGGGTCTCTATGCAAACTACATAAAATATGAATGACAGCCAAATCTATTTTGTTAATACTTCAAGAGGTGAAGATGACTTAGACTCATATAACAAGGCCTTAGGCTGTTGGAGAGGAAAGAAAGGATATGTGTATTTTTTATTTTGAAGAACAGAAAAGAAAGATGAAGTGATGTTACTAGAGAAGCAGAAAAATATCAGAGCTTGGGAACAGCCCAAAAACATCCCAGGGTTCATTCTCAGTGCTATCCTTTTCTGACATTTCCTGAATTATCCAAATATTTGTGTAAATGTTTCTTCTGAGAGTCAGCTTCTTCCAAGAAAACAATACTGGAAACAGACAGATTTCAGCAAAATGACAGAAGTTTTTGAAGGTGCACAGTGATTGATATATTTGTGTACAAAATGTAGTGCAGGACGTGGTAAAAAACAGTGGTAGGCTGGATTTTTGTCTCTCATATCTGACTCTTGGTATGTGGTCATTGTCACAAGCCATTTCAGATTAACATGATGCAGATATAATCTCTATAAATCAAGAAGGGCTATTGGTAAAGAGAAAATTACACACAATTTCTTTTATATGTGACAAGGACATGTTGCTGTTATTCTCCTCCATTTCCCACTTCCCTTTCTACTGATCCCTTTTTACTCTCTGCGTGTTTTCCTACATGGTGATGCCTTCTCCTTGCACAATGGCTGCATCTTCTCAACTGAGTCACCAGAAATTTATGTTCAAATAGGTCATGGGGAAGAGACTGAATCTACCTGAAGCCACGGAATGAGACAGCAATGGAAGAAAATCAAATTAACCCTTGTGGCCAACGCTGAGGAAGAAGAATCCCAGCTGTCCCCTGGTGTCCATGTCTGACATGTCCCTCACAGCTCCCACACTATGACAGGATTTTGAACAGCTTTTCACTAAAAAAGTGTAAGTTATTTGGCAGGAGGAACTTAGAAGTAAAAGTCTGTAAAACAGACCCGGTTGCTAAATATTGCAAAAGGCTAATAACTTCATATAATAAGGCAATTTAAGTGTAAAACTGAAATCAGTGAATTAATTTATTGAAAACGGTGCACAACTCTTCTCCATGAGTATAGGACTCTTCATTAGAAAAAAAACTTTTGCATTCATTGTTCCCATTTTGCTAAGTAACATTCATATGCACAAACAAAATGGTTGTGGTAGCCACAGCTGCGGATTTGACTGTCATACACCACATTTACTGCAAACCTTGTAAAAAATACTACCTATCACCCCATTATACACAGCAGTGGGAGACTGGGAACACTCAAGTAACATGCTGCTATGAAAGGAGCCAAAGAACTTGCAGGGAGAGCGGTAAATCAGATTTAATCAACCCTGCCAATCACCAAGCAAGTGAAGAGATTTCGCAACAAATTTTCCACTGTTTCAGGATTAAACATGGCGCTAGTAAAACTAAGCTGGCTTTTCATGGAGGTATCTAAATTGCTTTCAGAGGTAAAATGACTCTGGAAACAAACAGCCAGGAGGTACCTGAGCTCATAAGCCATGTCAGTTCTGCAACTGCTATGTACAGGGCCAACTATGTCTCCATGATTAATTAAATAGCAGCAAAAATATCCCAGCCACTTGTAATCAAAACCTGCCTGTACATAAATCAAATTATATAAAATATTTTATATCTACTCACTAAAATTACAGGAACCAATGGCACATCTGGGTATTTAGTCTTGGATGTGCAACAAGCAGATGCTGATTTAGCTGGTGGTCTGAGGTGGCCCATTAGCCCAAGGCACTGGGAGATACACTCTTGATTCAGCCATTGCAATACAGATCCAAATCTGCCCAACTCCCACACACAGGCCCCTTGCCTTGCTCTGAACATCTTGTATGCCCAGAGCTATCAGAACCAGGCAGCACAAAGTTTAGGCAGGATCAAACAATAAATTTAAGGACATCACAAGACTTCTTTCAAGATGTCAGTTGATTATATGTTTCTGTGAAAAAGACAATAACAATAGTGTTTTCCTATCTTTCAGGTGGCTCCACAGAAAGAAGCCAACTACTGTATTTACTATCAGCATTAGTGGTATCACAGGTGGCACAACACAGTATGTATGTAGACACCTGTAAATATACCAGTCATTTAGAAAGTGCAATTAAGGAAATGAAAGGAGTTATACTCACCAGGCTTTACAAGGCTTGTCTTTGTCTCCTTCTTGTACCGAGCCAGCTGCGTATTCCCTTCACTCACTGACCCTGGACTGAACTTCTTCCTGGAGAAGTCTCCATCACTACCAGTGCAAAAACTGATTGGACTGTTTCCAGCATCAGAAGGAGTCTTAACTGGAGATACTGACTGGCTACTAGGACAGCCAGTGTCATCTGAAAAGGAAAACATCAACATTTCTAACTAATAAGTGTATGAAAGTTAGCAGAATAAAAGAAACAGCATTTGAACTACAGCTCTTTACAGTAAGTGATAAGTACAACCTTGGCTCTGAAACCCAGTGAGAAGCTATTTGTTTCACCCATTTTGTGAAGAAACCTTGAATACCTCATGGCAAGCTAAAAAGACAAGTACTTGTTTTACTCAGTCTGACAAGGTACAAAATCACGGGCTACACGATGAAAATTCCTATCCGAGATGAATTCCTTTAGCAAGGTTAGGGAATATTGCAGAGTGAAGATACACACGAGACACAAATGTATAGTGCACACTGGCTGCAGAGCAAGCATGGGCCACATGCTTTCCTTCAAGAAACGTTCCCACATCTGAACAAGACAACAACCTCCAGCCGGAATTTCATGTAACTGGATTTAATACAGGTTCCTCAAAATTGTCTTTCCTTTAAAAGCAACCATGACCATAGAATTCTTCCATTCTTGACAAGTGGCTGTGAGGTACCTGGTTTTGAAGAGAGTGAGTTATACACAGATTGCTTTTGTTTAAAGCTGAATTCCTCTGAGGGAACACCAGCACTCCAGGGCATCAACAGCCACCCTGGGAACAGACCCAGGTTCCTGACCTCCAGGGATACAAACACTCCAGCTCTTAACAACTGAATGCAAAGTAAGCAATCTGATTTTTTAATCTCACCTTGTTCCATGTAATCTGGAGTAATTGCAGTTCCCCTAATAGTCATGGTGGTTTAACTGACACACAACAAAACCAAACACAAATTAGATATCTCCTGGAGATAAATATCTCCTGGATAATAGATATCTAATTGTTCTTTCCCACTACAAAAATGAAAGCTGCCATGTGAATTATGCCATTGAACTCTTTTCCGGATGCATTATCTTTGGCTAACATGAGACCCAAAGAAGAACCTGCAACTGAGCCAAATAATTTGCATGACCATTTTGCACTTACCTCTTCCACCCTGTTCATAATGCAAGTCAAGGCTTATTTTGCACTGAGCTTTGCATGGGCATATTGATTTAAAAGTCAGTGCATGACTGGGCATTTCTGAGTTAGAAGGGACACCCCATACCTATCTAACACCTCTCTGCCCACTTCCCCTCCACAGGAAACAACAGCTTTTGTTTCTTTTAGCTATTGCTCCCTTAATACTGTAGAAAAACCTCATCCTTTCATGTGATCCAGTTTTCCTTCATGCCTGGGCAGCTCTACCCTCACTCATCTGTTCCAATGTTCTGCCCCTCATTTCTCCATGTCCTCCCTGCCTTCAGTCCCAAGCAAGGGACCCAGAGGTGCTGCCTGTCCCGGTAACAGTGCAAAGCACCTAATCCAGTTTAAATTTAATTCCTTCAAATCATCCCAACAAAGCCAAGAAAGCATCTCTTTTTGCCATCCTGCTGCTGTCTTCTGCAACTCAGAATTAGTTCCTAGCAAAATAATAGAAAAGAGAAAACTGCTAATAAGCTTTTCAGCCTGTCCCTACATTCATCCTAATGCAGAATTGCTTCCCACATGACTTTAATTTACTTTTTATCCTTTCTATTTCCATCAACATCACAATATAACTCCACACAAAGAAGAAAAGAAGGTGGCAGTTTCCTCCCAGATCAGCATCTGTTTCCCTTTCTCCAACATTTGGAGTCTCTTCTGCAGGCTGAGTGAATGTTACCTGCAGGACAGTGGACTAGCACCACAGAGTGAACACCTGAATTGCATTTAAGCAGTTGCTTTAGCTATGTCCAAAGCACACAAACATTTCTAATCAAATATATTCAGAAATAAACAACAGCTTGTGCAGTTTGTTTTTCATTATGACTTTTCCACTTAGATGTTTCTGTATGTGGCATTAGTTTCCAAACTTTATGTTAGAATAAAAACAACAAAAAATCCCCACACAAACAAAAAACCCCCTCAAAACAAAAAAACAAACAAAAAAAAACCAAAACAAAAGCAAAACCCAAGCAAACTCCTGTCCCAAAACCTCCCACTTAAACCCACAAGAAACTATTTGCCTTATCTCCTTATCTCTCCACCAATACAGTTACTGCAATACTTGCACAGGTCTGTTTTATATGGGAGAGTTTATGTTGAAGTAACTCCCAAAGCTATAGAGATGCAGCCTGAAGAACCACAGGAGCTGATAAAACTTTACACAAAGAAAGAACTAAATTACAGTGTTAAAAATTGGAGCATTAAAAACCCCAATTGTGCAAAACTTACTACAATTAGGAAAAAGGTAGCTAAAGAATACATACTAAAATAGCATAAGAAGAAGTTTTATTTACCACCCCCCAACACTGCCTGTGATATCACACTGGTGACACTGTACCATCAGGTAATGTCATATCTACATTTCTTGTTTCACTGTTAAGAACTTCAGCTTTCGGGGCAACAGGGCATTTTTTAAAAGAAAAAATGAGCCTGGCACAAAGAAGAATAGCTCTTCTCTACTCATATCCCTTGTAACCTTTAGATACACTGATAACCAGGTAAGTACTCTCACTCCAGCTGCAGGGAATGAATGATTTTATTGTATTACCCCTCCTCCCATAGTTTATTTTTTATGTAATGTACAACTTCTAATCCTTCCACTACCATTGTTCAGAAACATTAACAGAATTATAAATTTTCCAGAACTAGGGCAAGCCGTAGAGAAAGATTCTTCTGTGTCAGCCTTTTGTATAATCAAAATGTTTGCTACCACAGAATGGAAGGGCTGTCTATTAAACAGTGGTGCTCACCATCAAAGCAAGCAAAGCTCTACTGTCCCTTGGGGGCATCCATTTGACCCGCGACTCACCCTCCTGGCACAAGGAAAAGTCCAGGTGAAGAGTGAGATGCTGTCTAGATACTTAGTGCCAGCCAAATTGCCTGCACCTACCTTCATCTTTCCTGCTATTGAAACCTTAGTGTTTAATACTGTAGGTGAACTACCCACAGGAGAGGAGCAGTGGACCCTGACATGATTCTCCCTCCATCTCCAGACAGCCTGAGCACCCTCCCTGCTCACTGCAGCAGCGACCCCTCCACTCCTCACCTGCAAGCAGAACGTGACTGCGGCACAGTGCGTTCAGTACTTCCTCACACCTGCAGGCTCCTCCTAAACCCTACTGGAAACTCTGATGGAAGGAAGTGAAGTCCTCTACATGCCCAGAAATGGGCCAAGATAAGGAATCTCTCTCAAACAAGCAGGTAACTGGAGCAGATGAGCCCACAATGGGATTCACTTTCTGATATGATGTGCATAAAGTTTCCAGAAGGGTCAGTTATGGATTCAACCCTGTAACTCAACAGGAGTTTTGCCCCAGTAAGGATTTCAGAGTGAGAAGAATGATGGGTTTGTCTTTACAAACAAGCTGTGGGTCTGCTGATAAGATGCAGCTATCAGTGAGAGACAACAGAAACAATGGGATGGATTCCACTAAAAGATTAAAGAGGCACTGAAAGAGCACCATGAATTCCACAAGAGTTAAGAATTAAGAAGGGATTATGCATTGGGGAGGGGGGGGGAAGGTACCGCAGGTGTCAGGCGTTTGGAGAAGCCTGTACCTCTCAAGTACCTCAGCCTGTGGGGAAAGGGAGAAGGGACAAGAGGCTGGGAATTAGGATAGAAAGGAGGCTGTGCCCTCCAAAAATTTGAGAGACCCCAGGGGAATGCCCCATGGCCTCTCCCTTTATTCAAATAAAGTAAAAGGACTCCTCTGTCTCCTTTTTGGACATAAACCTCTGGCATTTGTGGATTGATTTTCCTGACAAGAGCTAGACTCCTCAGGAACAGAGACAGACCTTACCTTCTCAAGCACATCAGCATCAGGAAGACAAAAAAAAAAGGAATTGGGTAAATAGTGCTGTGAAAGCCTGTACCCCTGATCTTGCCTGAATTTACTTGCACAAGAGGTAAAATCATGTGAATTTATGACAAAAGACTTCCATTGCTTTCCTTCATAGTGTCATTTTTTTTTCTTTACAGGGGCCTCCTAGGAGCATTCTGGGAGTAGACTTTTCCTTTGAACCTCAGCTGGATTTCATCACTTGAAATTCTATGTCCAAGCCCTCTTCCAGACATGCCTGCCAAGTTTCAAAGGCAAGCAAAGGATAGTGTCTTCTCAAACAAACTATCAGGAAAGTTGCTCAGAGCACTCTGACATTTGCATGCTCTGACTAACCTTTAAATAATAAAGTCAAAATATAAACAACAGTATTAAAGATAATAATACTCTGGATAATAAACATAAATACTGTTCTTATAGACTTTTAGGCTTTATGTTGAGATGTGATGATTTTATCAGCACAGATATCTTAGAAGTTTCACCAGAATATGTCTTAGAACCTCCTTTAAAAAATACTGCCTTTTCCTAAAGGCTTCAAGAAACTTTGAATATATATCCTTATATAACACATCTAAATAATTAATGATGCTCTCGCTGAGGAAGCACTGACTTATTTTTTTCACTCCTAGCTGCCAGATCAAGTTAGGCACTCCTGTGACACTGAATGGTCCAGTTCCTGCCTGATCCCTATTTCACTGTCCAACATTTGTCTTCTCATAAGTGCCCCTTGACCAGTGTTCAGGCTGTACATAGTCTGAATTTCCACCAAGAAATGTGGATTCCAGAATTAAATGTGGCTCTAACAAAATTTTAAATATTCAGTGCACCAAGACAAACAATTTCCTGGCTTTCACCTGATGGTTAAGTTTCCATTCATCCCAGGATCTGTTAGGCTGGGTAGCCACATCTCTGCCAGGAAGGTGCAC